ACGGGCACAACTATCGGCCAACTAATAATCAACGGTGTGCGCCTACTCTAAAAAAATCTGCTTTCCGATAGTAAAGTTGGTTCTGGAAGTCTTCGATACCCAACAGAGGCATATTAAGTAATGATACATGGTGGTAAACATTTTGGTCAGTCAGTCATAGGTAGGTTAATAGATGCTAATTATTAGAGTAATTAGTGTGATGAGTGATGTAATAGTAATGATGAACTACTCACAATTTTGGCACCTTAAGAAAATGACTTCTATGTAAATAACGTAGAATCCTCATACATAGGTAAGATACGAAGGGCATTTGTTGCTACTGCTACTGTAATTCTTATAACAGTTAATTTATTCTTTTTCTCCTTTTTCAGCCTTCGATCCGAGTTGATATTAGGTACCGTAAATGTGACTTATCGGACGCTTAATCGATGCGTCGATCGACACAATCGATATCTTATACACATCGATACACACCGATAATTTCATGAGATACCTGGATACCACGAGAAAACGTCAGATCTCGCAAATTTTTGTTCTTTTTTAGCAATTCAAGGGAAAAATATAACTACCGTCACTGATGGCAAGATAACGTAGTGATTGATGCATGCACCCAAGCAAAAAACGAGGATATAATTATTTTTATAATAGGTAAGTTAAGAGTATAATATGAATAAAAATACGACTATACTAAGTACAAATAATAAACTACTCAATTGTCTAAGTGCATGGTAAGTTGTCTGGAAGAGATCGCTTCATAGCGATAAGACCGCCTAGTTGTACCTTGTGTGTTCCCTTTCTTTCTGTTATGTTCTTTGGTGTGCAATAAAGTATATTTATTATTATTACTACTTATTACGTACCTACTTAGAATATATTTTGTTTGAAATAAATTAAGTATTATAAAAGAGCATGTTTCATTAACTTCGAAGTGAGATTTCAAATAAAGTAATGTAATAATTGTATTTAATTAGGTTTTAGATAATACGAATTTTCCTAGGTCGAAAAGTTCAAGGTGAGAGTAGTTATTTATGGCAGAAAAAAAACAAAACTGAGCTTAATTCTACTCATTTAGGGTGGGTTGCACCATCTTACTTTGACAGTAATTATGACGATAACCGGTGCTTTTTGTATGGAGTTTGACATATTTTTGACGTTTGTCAAAGTTAAAGTAAGATAGTGCAACCAAGCCTAAAAGTATTGTTGTAAGTGTATTGTCGATGAAACTGAATAAACATTTTTACTTTCTTTCTTTCTAATGCAGTTTTCATCTAGTACCTACTCGAAAACTTTTCTACTACTTAAATAAACTATTTAATATATGACAGCCGTTGTATAAATTGGACCCTATAAAAGAAATCGCATCTTATTTTTACTGTCTAAAATCCAGTCGAACAAAACAAACCTTACAGAACTTTTATTTCAATGCAAATAAACAAAAAAGCGAAGCAAAGTTTAAGAACAAGGCACTTAACAAGTTGCAGCAAATCGGATTTATCTAGAATTTGAATAAGTCCCAATTTGAATATCTCGGGCTTTTACTGCAGCAAAGATCTTACGCGGGCTTCAGGTAGGGGGCGTAACGATCCTTTGAACAATAATAAAGAACTGTATGACTTCATTCGACTCTTTTGAAGATACAAAGGTCCAACCTATTGCTGCTTTTAAAAATGGATCAATATTTTTTATCTATCAATGTTTATTATTTATTTTAACTTTCTGAAAAAACTGAAATTGGGCCAGCGAAATTAGTTCAAAATAGATTGAACAACTTGTTTTCCGATGAGATTGCATTGTTTCAGTGTCTTTTTTGCTAAAACCATTATTTGAGCGAAATGACGAAGGTTAAATTTATGGTGTTCGCCCGCGTGGAATTTTGTATGTCACAGAAAAACTATATCGCGCGCGTCCCTGTTTGAAAAACCGGGCTAAAAACTATCCTATGTCCTTTCCCGGGACTCAAACTATCTCGGTGCCAAATTTCATCTAAATCGGTTCAGTGGTTTAGGCGTGAAAGCAAGACAGACAGAGTTAGGTACTTTCGCATTTATAATATTAGTATAGATATAGATAGTATAGGTTTATGCTGCATTTATGTTTTTAAAAGAGGGTGTAATTAAATAATGAAGTGAAATAAAAGATATTTCTTTACTAATATCTCTGAACTGAAACTAAATAAGTAGTAGAATAAAACAGGAGGACTGCCTAAGATTTTAAATCATCAAGTTAAAAATGTAATAAACAGATTTGTATTTTCTCCAGAAACTTCTCGTCTCCCCTAAGCTGTGCCTAAACGATGCACTGACGATCTCAGAATAAAATCAGAAGAAAATCGTGAACGTGTTCCTTCTAGCGTTCCTTGCTGATTAAAATTGGCTGAAGGTACAATGGTGAACAATGACATAAATTACTACTTATTCAAAATTCAGTCAGTTTTCAAATACATATTAAGTTAAAATTCAGCGAACAAAACGTGTAAAGCCGAGTCGAAAAGCTAGTACAGCAATAAAGTTTAATCCGCTAATGGCACGATACATTACGCGTGTTTTATTGAGCTGCCACACAAAGACACAAAATGGCGGCGTCATTTCCCGGCACGATGCTACAGCTTGCTGTGATTAAAGTGTAGGGTAGTTTTGTTTTAATCATTCTGATTGGGAAATACAAGAGCTGACAATTAATTTAAGATCTCATTACTAGGTGTTTTATTTTGTTAACTTTTATGACGATTGGAAAAGCGAAAGGTCACTGATTGACTGACTCACTCACCACGAAATCTCAGAAACTACAAGTGCTAGGAGTCTCAAATTTTGCATCGGGGTTCCTTTTAGAAAATAGATAGGTGCTCACTAAGACGGGATTTTGAAATATTCAACCCCTAAGGGGGTAAAACGAGATCCACGCGTACGAAGTCGCGGGCGGCCGCTAGTACCTAAATAAATAAACTAATTTCATCCTGGCCAGTTAGTTTACGAACTTTGCTCGTCAATTCAACTAAAATTGTGGTAATATTCTTTGATCTAGTCAATATCGGAAAGTTCCAGTACAATGCCTTTCGAATATTTTGCAGACTAAAGATATATGTCTACCTACATTTAAAAATTAAGTTGTTTGAATGACTGAGGGAGTTTATTTGAGTAGGTTTAAGTACCTACCTATCATTAGGTACACTTCGTTTTATCACTTTTCGTTAATTTACTTACATTATAAAACGTCGTGAATCTTATAATAATATCAGGAATGGAAGCATTGTATAGTCGGTACCACCGTAAACGATATACCCTCGAAATGTCCACCGAAATCGTATTTTAATGTTCACCGTTCCAATAAGCAAATTGCGTGGTGTCCCAAACGCATTGTGCGCGGGACCCATTGATCCCGCACAAATACACCTCTCACAAAGCGGCAATACAAATATTTGTTGTCGACTCACCTTTATAGGCGATTACCTTTTCTTCAATACACCGCAACGAGCGAGGAAGAGTGTTGGATGTGCTAAGTCGAAAGGTTTTAGGACGAAAAACCACGTTAAATACCGTATAAGAGATAATATGTAGATAAGAGAACCATCTGCTTATTCTGATGATAGAGAAAAATCATGAAGTATTATGATGTGAGCCGGAAGACGTAGCGTGGACAGGACAGGCTTCCCACTAGGTGGACCGACGATCTGGTGAAGGTCGCGAGAGGTACTTGGATGCGAGCGGCGCAGGACTGGTCTTTATGGAAATCCTTGGGGGAGGCCTTTGTCCAGCAGTGGACGTCTTTCGGCTGAAACGATGTATGATGTAGGTACTCGTAGGTAGAACAATCGTCAGCCGATTCAACTGCATCAGTTTAGTGGTAACGAGTTAAACCTCAGATCATGCTATGATCTGAGAGTTAAACAAAGTAGGCACCTAACGCATTGGGAAGCTCAACTTAAGATCCCAATCCATGGATGGATAATAATATAACCAAAAGAGTTATTGTTATTTTATGAAAAAGTAAGTTGATTTTACAGTCGCCCTTCTACAGATAGGTACCTATACATATTCTCTGTCCTATTTGTGATTTAGGCCGCTATGAATAATGCATTACATGCTTAAAATCAAAGAAGAGGCTTACATAAATGTTAAATAAAGTTCGTTGACTAATAATATTGATTTAATACTGGAGACTGAGATAATAGAACATTAAAAATAAATATCCTAATATAATCTAGATTCATAAAAATACCTCAATTTTATCTAAGGACCGCAAAGAAAAAGGTTAATTGGTTAGAATATCTTTAATATCTTCAAAAGTAGGTACCCTACATCCTATATCCTATGAAATAAAGACAAAATTAATTCAAGCTTTTTTGAAGATAAAGAAGATTTTCAAACAGACCCTTTTCTTTGCGGTCCAGTGTAATTATGTAATTAACCATTAAAATTCCTTACTTACCCACTGCTACTATAGCGTGTCTTGAAAACGAGCATGCCACATCCAACTCCTTCGCCGATCCAGTGTGACACCTGAAAAAATCGTCAAATCACGTCGATTAGTGGCGTGCTCTATAAACTCATTGTTGGCGCCACAAAACGCCGTGATGCGTTACACAACCTAATACCGCTAATATCACCCTGTCATTTGTACGCGTCAATGCAGGGCTATTTAAGGGAAAATCGGTAAGGAATTACCACAGTTACACCTGGAAAATTGAGAGGAAATCATAAGTTTGGGCAGTGATTTGGAAAGTTCAGTTACAAGTGTTTCATATTTCAGTATTTTAAAGTATGCAAGTTAAAGCTTTTGCGACTTACTGATATTAAAGTTTTCAGTTCAAATCATTGGGACAGCATCTTTAAGATTAGTTTCTTAGAAAGTTATAGGTAAAATATTGAGTTAAAATTAGGCTAGGCTAGTCACTAAGACACACGTAGGGTAGCCTTGCACCAAGTTTAGTAGCGCCTGACCTTATGAAAATGCAATAACACGCACTAAAGCAATACCTAATAGTTGCTTTTAAAACATCATAAATGGAAATCCAAACAGAACCCCTGGATCTTTCCACCAAAGCTAACTCATCCAGGATCCTCAGCATCATCGACATCAAGTTCCTAGCTGGCCTGAACAGTCACCTAGCCAGGCTTTATGAGAGAACCAACCTGGTCGGTACCAGTGAGGGCTTCTGCATACCACAGAGAAACGTTGGCGCGAAGAATGTGCTGCCTTGCGATGTCTGCTTAAAGACTTTTGACAGACCCTCACTGCTGAAGAGGCATATGCGGACTCATACTGGTATGTACAACTTAGTCATTTGTAGATCAAGCACGTCTCACTGTAGGTACGTACTAGTTAGTACGAAAAGTAAATAAAAATTAAGGTTGTGGAAATGCAAAATATTTGCCGTAACTACACTCTCAACTAAAAATTTATCCCATTGTGGTATTGTTGCAATGGTCAACAATTATCCAAACGCGCAATCATTTACTTTTTTAATACTTAAGTATCATGATAAGACATTGAAGCAAAAACGAAACAATGTCACATTACGCGCTTTCAAAACAAAAAGTTTTTAAAGCGCGAAGTACTTACGTATCCAATATACAGGGTGTCCCAAAAACAATGGATAACCCTGTAACCATCGATAGGCCTCGCCATGGTCTCCCTAACGTCCAATTTTGACCCCAGTAAAAATATCACCGTTTTCAAGATTTTTCAGTTTTTGTGCATTTTTAGAAAATTGCCACCTGCGATTACTTTTTCTCATGCCATTTCTACAAATGAGGATACTTTTCAATCTAGTTTTTTTTCTTTTCACAAGGGATAGTTGGGCTATCAAAAGAAAATATTATAGTTCAACAAACTAGTTTGAAAGTATGAAAATTTTAAGAAATTGCAGAGAAGAAGGAAAAATTAATTCATTGTCTCGCACATTTGATCACCCATCGTGTAAAAAAAATGTAGGAAGACCATCGTGCCCATTACCTTAAAAACTTTCTTGGTTAATTGAGATTCTAAAAAGGTATCACAAGCCTATGTATTCTGTATTACTTTTATCTTATGGCTACTTGAATAGCAACTAGTATGAAAACTGCAAAAATGAGTTTTTCTCGTAATAGTTAAACTAAGACTGCATAGTGGCATTAAATACAAATGGATAATTTTTAGCGTAGGAATTTTAATAAAGCAACATTTTATCATCATCATCATTTCAGCCATAGGACGTCCACTGCTGAACATAGGCCTGTACCCCAATGATTTTCATAATGACCGCTTGGTAGCGGCCTGCATCCAGCACATTCCTGCTTACCTTTATGAGGTCGTCGGTCCACTTTGTAGGTGGACGTCCTACGATGCGCTTCCCGGTAAGTAGTCTCCACTTGAACCCTGCTGCCTCAGTTCTGCAAACTACTGCACATTGCCACTTCAGCTTGCTGATCCGTCGAGCGATGTCAGCGACTTTAGTTCGTTTACGGATCTCCTAATTTCTGATACGGTTTCGTAAAGAAACCCGAGCATAACCCCTTCCATAGCACGCTGTTCAAAAAACCCACGTTTCCGAGCCGTGTATTATCACGGGTATCTGTCTATAGGCACATTAAAATTTATAAGGTTTAAAACAAAAATTAAGTAATCACAAAAACGCAGAACGGACGGTCAATGGGACAACAGGGTTCAAGTGGAGGCTACGTACCGGAAAGCGCATCATAGGACGTCCACCTACAAAGTGAACCGACGACCTCATAAAGGTAAGCAGAAAGCTGCTGGATGCAGGCCGCTACCAAGCGGTTATTATGAAAATCATTGGGGTACAGGCCTATGTTCAGCAGTGGACGTCCTATGGCTGAAATGATTTTTATTTTATTTTATTTTATTTTATTTTATTTAGGATAACAAACAATTGTACAATTCAGATATGAGTAATGATGATGATAATGATGATAAAATAATGTTGCTTTATTAAAATTCCTACGCTAAAAATTATCCATTTGTATTTAATGCCACTATGCAGTCTTAGTTTAACTATTACGAGAAAAACTCATTTTTGCAGTTTTCATACTAGTTGCTATTCAAGTAGCCATAAGATAAAAGTAATACAGAATACATAGGCTTGTGATACCTTTTTAGAATCTCAATTAACCAAGAAAGATGGCTGATCAAAAGTGCAAGACAATGAATTCATTTTTCCTTCTTCTCTGTAATTTCTTAAAATTTTCATACTTTTAAACTAGTTTGTTGAACTTTAATATTTTCTTTTGATAGCCCAACTATCCCTTGTGAAAAGGAAAAAAAACTAGATTGAAAAGTATCCTCATTTGTATAAATGGCATGAGAAAAAGTAATCGCAGGTGGCAATTTTCTAAAAATGCACAAAAACGTAAAAATCTTGAAAACGGTGATATTTTTACTGGAGTCAAAATTGGACGTTAGGGAGACCATGGCGAGGCCTATCGATGGTTACAGGGTTATCCATTGTTTTTGGGACACCCTGTATATTGAACCGTAACAATCAATTACTTACCTAATTAAATAACTGAGTTTTCTATTAAAATCTCCAAGTAGGTATCATTATCCCAACTAATATTATAAATGCGAAAGTAACTCTGTCTGTCTGTCTGTCTGTCTGTCTGTCTGTCTGTCTGTCTGTCTGTCTGTTACGCTTTCCCGCTTAAACCTCGCAACCGATTTTGATGAAATTTGGCATAGAGATAGTTTGAGTCCCGGGAAAGAACATAGGATAGTTTTTATCCCGGTTTTTGAAACAGGGACGCGCGCGATAAAGTTTTTCTGTGACAGACAAAATTCCACGCGGGCGAAGCCGCGGGCGGAAAGCTAGTTCTTGATAATTTTCTCTTCCAGGCGAAAAACCGCACATTTGCAACGTCTGCAACAAGGGGTTTAGTACGTCAAGCTCCCTCAACACGCATCGTCGAATACATACAGGTAACCTCATTTAATTTTGCATCGTATAATACTTACTTTAACACTTTCTGAACAGTGTAGCTATCTAGCATTCATAACAATTAAACTTTTGTGTCTGGGTTAATGTAAAAAAACAATACCTATCGGCTTGATTAAATCAAGCAATCAAACATTAAAATAAAATAAAGGCGGACAAAGAAACGTTAAAAAACTTAATTGATTTTTTTTTAACAATACTTACCTACATGAACTTGGAAAGTTATGTTTTGAAAATAATGTTCAGTCTTCTTCAAATATTGTATAGCTCTGCAATTGGCACAAACACAAACATATAATTTGTAGCAACATCTAATTAAAAATTAACTAACTTTTGTATCATTTTTGCAGGTGAAAAACCACACAAATGTCCCGAATGTGGAAAATGTTTTACCGCCAGCTCCAATCTCTATTATCATCGAATGACGCACACCAAGGTAATAAATACTATACAGCTTTTGGCAAAAAGTTTTTAATTATTATTTTTTTAATGTTTATTTTAGTCTGTGGATTTTTCGCTGCGCAGAATTCAGGTTATTTTTATTAAAATTAGATTGTAACAAACACTTAAATTCGCTAAAGTATACATTAAACAAATGAAGCTATTCATTTTTTATTACAAAAAGTAATAAGGGTTAAAATTACTCATTGTACCTACTTACTAAAGAATCAGTCCAGGGTAAGAATGAAATAAAAAAATACATTTATATTTTTATAGGTAGTTCATAAACTTACCTATTTTCTTGAAAATGCATTGCAAAATGTATGCAAATACACTTAGCACGAATAACAACGGCGTTGTCTTACTTATGGCTGCCTCACCTATAGTAAAGTGACACCCTCATTCTTTTTCTTCCAGAATAAGCCCCACAAGTGTGCGTGGTGCCCACGCTCGTTCCCAACGCCGGGCGAGCTGCGCGCACACTCGCACACTCATGCACACACACACGCCGTTCAAGCGCAGATACAGCGGTATAAAACTCGGAGGATGCCTTTTCCTACGTAGACTAGCATAGACGATCAGGTTTCATAGAAATAATTTATGTATTCTACTACATTTATAATTTATAATAACATCGGAAATGGTTCTACCTGGGAACCAAATGGTTTCTTTTGCCCTACCTCCCCATTTCTAGTCAATAATCTAGTCATTTTGATGTATTACAGCCTTACGCCCGTTTCCCATAATCCTTGTCCAAATCCGGATTACTACTGTCAAAGTGAATTCAGTTTTCACTTTAATATTGTTTAAATAGTCTTATATGATCAGCAATGATGAAAAGCTATGGCTTTCACTATTGTTTGTAAATATTATTATCTGTGAAGAATAATGGTATCATTTAAATTTAATAAAACATTGTTTCATTTTGTTGTAGCAAGAGTAGCAGACAAATAAATTGACTGGGCTGTGTATTTATTCTGAAAAATAAATAAAACATTAAATACGTAAAACACTTTATTATTCAATCTCTGTTTTAACTTTCTTCAACGCTACATCTACATAGTCATCCATTTTTCTTTTTAATGATTCATCCCCGCTCGCTTCGGGCATTACATCTCCAGTAACTTCTGCATTTTCTTGTCTGCTCACTTCTGAGTTCTCCCCGCTCATATTGAGGCTGTCATTGGCTTCTGAGTTATTCTCTGAATTTTCATCTCCCGCTTCCCCGGTCTTATCCTTGGATTTCTTGCGTCTGTGATAGTTGTTCTGCATCGCCTGGTAATCGCAAGACGTGTCTACTTTGAGGAGTTCCCGCAAAGCCATGGTGGCGTAACAGCTCGCCGGCAGAGACATTTCTAGGAGCAACGCTTTGTATTTGCCGTCTGAAATCAGATAAAAATAGTTCATGTTATTTTTTATTGTAAGAAAAAATGGAAAATTATAATTTTAGTTTTGGAGAAGAATATGCGTATAGTAATTTTAAGAGAGGTGTGCTAGATTCCAGTTTTTCTGAACTAAATACCAAACACTGTCTGCTTGATCAATTTGGTTGTAACACTGCAGCTCAGCTGTTTTATGTAAATTAATTTCTATAAATAATATTGTTTTGAACTCTCATGGTCACTACCATAATAATTATTATTGACGGGATTGCTACCATTATCATTATTTAGGATTTGTTTCGTAATATGCGTTCTCCATTGCGCACACTACTCCGATTTGGTATCGGCCGATTTTCATATAAATTAGAATCGGGCCTAACTATCGGTCTGCGCCTAGACTTAGTCCACATAAATTAGAATCGGGCCCAACTATCTGCCAACTGCCCAACTAGCCTAGGCTCATTCCACAGCTCCCACGCTACAAGCTGCGTACCTTACGGTGAGCTGGTCGCGGTCGGAGCGCAGCAGGCGGCGTAGGGCCACAGAATAATAATAAGTACTACGTACAGAAGTTTTACTTCATGAAGGTATTTAAAAAAATGTATGCTCAATTTCATTAACAATATGGTGTAATTTAGCCTGTCTCAAGAGTCAAGCACCATTTCGTTGACAAATGTCAGTGATGCGCCGAAGCTATAGGGCTGACTTCGGTAAAATGATGTGACGTGAGGTGCCAAACTGCGGAAATGGCGGAGGAAATACATGATTGAGCATGAATTATCATGAATTGAATAATATTACCTACTTATTTACCTCTCAGTGTCTTGAGGCAACTTAAAAAAGTACATTCTGTGTTTTTATTATTATTTAGGCAGTTAAATACTGCACAGTATTTAGTACACCATTTCCTTTATTTCTTCTATCATACACAAGAATACGCGTGCGTGAGTCAATGTTCGCTCGTATGTGAGGCCTTGTCGAATAGTATCCTGTAGGTGGGCCATCGTGCGTGTTTTGTTTTCGATGTAAACTCGCGGAGATGAACAGGCCTGGTAGGGCTGCGAGTAGCGCAAGCTGCGTACCTTCGATGATGCCGGTGAGCTCGCGGCCGGTGAGCTGGTCGCGGTCGGAGCGCAGCAGGTCGGCGTAGGGCTGCGAGTAGCGCACGCTGCGCCAGCTCACATCAAACGGACGCACCGCCACGTGCCGGTACGCGCCAGACATGCTGTAGCACCTGGAGAATACAGAAATAATGGTACGATCGGTAATACATCCATACTGTCATCTATCGAACACATAAATAGTGTCTCGTCATTATACTAGCTCAAATGGACCACGGAATTGGTCATGTGAAGATTATGAGACATGAAGGCTCTATAAGAGCAAAACTTTTAAAGATTTTTTTAATTAGTCTAATATTTTAATATTTATTTTGACGATTTGAAAGCACTATTTTTAATAGTTCATGCAAATAAAGGAATTTAGATTTTGATAATCCGCAAGACTTTGCGAAACAATATAGACCTCTGCAGAACGCAGAGACGTTCTCAGGGCAGAATTACGCCAAGTTATTGACGTATTTTGGTTAAAAAATGAAAATTGAACACCAAATAAATACTCAACGAATTTTCGTAGCATCACTGACTGCATTTATAACTAAAAATAATCCTACTGTATATTTGTCATAACGTCGGAAAACGAAATGATCTAGTTCATAAATAATGAGAAAACTACTCACTTGACTTTATGCCTCAGATCCAGCTTCAAGTTGTCTTTCGCCATCTCCTCTTCATAGAAGTCCTTCATGTTGGGCGGATAGTCGATATTGTACCCTGGCAGCGGCATTATAACGTCGAATATCGTGTACTGCCCGCTCTCCGCCTCTTCCTTGGTCAGCACTTTGACAGGGACCTGCAGTGTGATACATTAAAAATCATATTTAACAGTTTTATTTTATATGGCTTTACTTGGGTTTGGATTGGTGAGTAGAAATATTCACTTGAAATATAATTTTACTTCATCATCATCATTTCAGCCACAGGACGTCCACTACTGAACATAGGCCTCCTCCAATAATTTCCATAATGAGCGGCCTGCATCCAACGCCTTCCTGCTACCTTTATGAGGTCGTCGGTACATCTTGTGGGTGGACTTCACACGCTGCACTTTCAGTGTTATATCGTCCACTCCAGAAACTTGCTGGCCCACTGCACCGGCTGTCGTTCTGCGTACTATGTGCCCTGTTCTGCGTACGGTCCGGTCCGGTCGCCGAGCACGTAGAATTTCGTCCAATGACCCCAAGCTACCCATCCTTATCGCTCGCGCGTAATTATATTGCTGTCGCGACTGTGCGACGGGCGGCCGCAGTGAGTGTGCGAGCGAGCTTTATATGGCCTGCCCATCAAACAAAATCTTCTCGTCGAATATACCTCAGTTCCTAAAGACGAAAGTGTACAATCAGTGTGTGTTACATATGGCTCCAAAACGTGGCCTGTCACTATAGACCTCATGAAAAAGCTCAGTTGCATAGCGTACTTTGGAGAGGGCTTAGTGTTTCTTTAAGACGATTCAAAAATAGGAGAGATGCGTAAACAAACTAAGATCGTTGACATACATAGCCCAACGGATTAGCACGCTGAGGTGGTAATTTTACTTGACACTGTCTAAATTTGCAACCAATACAAAGCCATATCAAAAATGTTTGATAAAAAAAAAATACCTTTGGTTTCTCATCGTTATTTTTGTCCTTGTCTCTCTTGTCCGAGCTGTCGTTATCGTTTTCCGCAGGCACTTCGGAGGCGTCATTGGTGTCAGCATCAGATTCATTCTCATTGTTATCTTCATCTTCGAACTCGCCGTCGTTCATCTCTTCTGTGACTGTAATGAAATTTATGAAGGGTTGTCAAAATATTCATCATCATCATTTCAGCCATAGGACGTCCACTGCTGAACATAGGCCTCCCCCAATGCTTTCCATGTTGATCGATTGGTAGCGGTCTGCGTCCAGCGCTTCCCTGCTACCTTTACGATGTCGTTGGTCCACCTTGTAGTTGCACCTTGTCCGACGGATTAGCAAGCTGAAGTGGTAATGGGCAGGGCACATAGTACGCAGAACTGATGCCCGATGGGGCAGAAAGGTTCTGAAATGGAGGCCGCGTACCGGAAAACGCAGCGTGGGACGTCCACCTACAAGGTGGACCGACGACATCGTAAAGGTCAAAATATTGCTGATGAGGAATTGAGAATTGCGACCACTTTATGATAGCGATGTTCTTGATGAAAACCGATTCTTGGTAAAACATTTTTCATGATACAGTTTCAATCATTTATCAAAGTCGGCTCGAAAGACATTATTGAGTATTATTCTCCAGTAGTAATATATTCTCCAGTTCCAGATAAGGTTTTGGCTAATGTGAGATGTCTGTGGTGAGGCACATAGCTCGTAGAGCTGATGGCCGCTGGGGCAGAAAGTTCTCGAGTGGCGACCACGAGCCGGAAGAAGGTGTGGGCAGGCCCCTCACTAGGTGGACTGATGATCTGGTAAAGGTTGCGGAAAGCACCTGGATGCGGGCAGCGCAGGACCATTGTGGAAATACTTGGGGAATGCTTTTGTCCAGCTGTGGACGTCATTTGGCTGAAACGAAATAGCATTATTTATTTCAACCGACAGACAGTGATGACTAGTCCAAGTTATTCAAATTTATTAATGCGAGTCATTTCTACTAGTATTTAAGTATCTTAATTTGTAAGTCTAGATATTAGCACGTTACTACCTTGTTTAATATGCCACGCAATTTTGTATACCCATTCTTATAAGATACATCATACAAGAATGCATGGTAAATTCAGTGAACTGCTCCTGAATCAAATGTACCTACTACTGCTTTTTCTATTTATTTATATTAACCGGCAGACAGTGGTGACTGAGTTTGTTGCGGCGCTTCTTCTCAGCACTTGCCAAATGTTGATCTCGAAGCGCTGGTAGGGTAAAAAGATTATGAGACATGTAGAGGCTCCTTAAGAGCAAAATGACGATTTGTAAGAACTATTTATTAGTCTAAACAAATAAAGAAATTTTGACTTTGACTAGGTTTGTTACGGCGCTTCTTCTCAGAACTTGCTAAATGTTGATCAGGAAGCGCTAGTAGGGTAAAATGATTATGAGACATGTAGGTTCTTTGTCATCAGACGCGATGAGGAAAACGGTGGGCGCAAGCTTTCATCGTGCGGTCCACACAGCTTATGACCGCAGTCTATGGAGGAACACTATAATGTGGTCGCGATCCTCATCAGTGAGGGACCGAGGAAGAAGAAATTTTTTTTTTTATATGACGGAAGCAAACGAGCAGATGGATCACCTGATGGTTTTTTTTATGTGACAGGAGGCAAACGAGCTGACGGATCACCCGATGGTAAGTGACTACCGTCGCCCATAGACACCCGCAGACCCAGGGGCGTTACAGGTGCGTTGCCGGCCTTTAAGGTGAAGATACGCTCTCCTCTTGAAAGCTTCCTTAAGAACTTTTTTTTATTAGTCTTATTTTTCTTTCAGTTTGACGATTTGTAAGTATTATTTAAATAGTCTATCCAAATAAAGATTTTGACTTTGATTTGACTTTATAGTTCCAAAATACTGAACTGTCGCCACTCGTCAAACACAAACGTCAATACCGGATCGCTGGTTCCGATTTTTGCCATGTTGGAGACCATATAGTTGAACGATGGTAGCGCCCCCCTGTCATTGAGTTTGGTGGGACAGTTCAGCGTGGGTCATCTATACCAGCGGTTCCCGAATGGTGGTCCGCGGAACCCTGGGGTTCCTTGGAAAGGCCGCAAGGGTTCCGTAAAAAATATTATCCCACGTTTCGTGACCGACGTTGTTCGCTCGCACCGACTTGTTTACGCACAAGGGAGGGGCAGGGCGTGCGGGCGGAGTAGTACGGGGGTTCCGCTAGGAAAAGTATAATCAATTAGGGTTCCTTGGCAAAAAAAAATTGGGAAACCCTGATCTATACAATAGTTACCTATGTGCGTCTCGCTGCCCGCGGGCACCAAGTCTCCTTCCGCGGGGCGGAGGCCGAGTCGCTGGATACGTTCGGACACGGCGCGGTTCCACACTAGCGACTGGTACGAGTGCAGGTACAGTAAGCGAGTGTTTCGCGCCAGCTGGAATGGAAGCGGGTTAAAGTGGGTGAGGTAAACGTAACTCTATGTCAGTATGGGCCACACTGAAAACCAGCGTCGTGGCCTTCCACACCTTGGGCCACGGTATATGCTAAGTGGGGTCCCATTGCGATGGGCATCGCTGTACGACAGGGTGGCACTGTTCAGTTTACTTTCTCTTCAATTGTATGTTTTATGTGTTACCTCTGTCTTGTTTGCTTTTTATATTTACCTCTTTTGTCTTTTGTGATGTCCATGGCAATTAAATTTTTCTTTCTTTCAGTGTTTTTCAACCTGTGAAGCCTCTATAGGGAGGTCGCGAGAGGTCGTAAAAACTATTTCAGTAAAAAAAATCTTATAAAGACAGATTAATCTGAAATCTAATGATGCAAATGTTGTTGTATTCGGTCCCTACAAACATCTTTGCAACATTATAAAACGCATGAAAAAAGCGAACAGTCTGGGGGTCGCCAAAACTTTTTTCATACTAGAGGGGTTGTGTTATGAAAAAGGTTGAAAAGCACTGCTCTATGTAATCAACGATACCGGACAATGTTATGAGATGAGTTAAGATAGTATACACAGTCTGGGATTGCAGATTAAGATTGGGACACACAGATTGGGACTAGCAGCAAGATTCTGGAGGCCACGTACCAGAAAACCCAGCGTGGGACGTCCACCCACGAGGTGGACCGACGACCTCATGCAAGGTAGCAGGAAGGCGCTGGATGCAGACCGCTACCAACCGCGCGATGTGGAAACCAAGCACGCTTTGTGCTTCCGTTGATGATAAGCCTTCTTCTGCTTAACCGTACTAATACTACTTGTAAATCGTGATTCCTTCCTCCACAGGACAGGCAATGCCTAGTGTGGAGGTCTGTATTTTGTTTTGTACCTACTACTTGATCTGGCAATAAATATTTTCATTTTCCTTACCTTTTATGAGCCTTTTCCTTACCTTTTTTGGGCGCCGTGGCTACACAAAAGTGAGTCTTGTATCACAGGCAGTAAGGTCGACATTACCTTGGACAGCGCTCCCACCAAGTCGTTAGGCGCCTTGGCCAGGGCGCGGATGAGGCGCGTCTCGACTTGCGCGCTGCCAGACATGCCTCTTGGCAGCACCTGGAGTGAAGCGATGGGCCTACTTCATGGCCATACAAGTGTGAGTCTTATGTCACAGCCGGTAAGGTCGACATTACCTTGGACAGCGCGCCCACCAGATCGGTTGGGCGCCTTAGCGAGGGCTCGTTTTGGAAGCGCCTGAAGTGCTGCGATAGGCCCGGCCTCGCGGCCACACGAGATTGAGCTTTATGTCACAGGCGATAAGGTCGACATTACCTTGGACAGCGCGCCCACCAGATCATTAGGCGCTTTGGCGAGGGCACGTATGAGGCGCGTCTCGACGTGCGCGCTGCCGGACATGCCTCTTAGAAGCGCTTGGATTGGAACGCAGCGATGGGCCCGGCCTTATGGCCACACGAGACTGAGCCTTGTGTCACAGGCTGTAAGGTCGAAATTACCTTGGACAGCGCTCCCACCAGGTCATTGGGCGCTTTGGCGAGGGCACGTATGAGGCGCGTCTCGATATACACGCTGCCTGCCGTGCCACGCGAGAATGAGTCTTATGTCGCGAGCGATAAGGTCGTCATTACCTTGGACAGCGCGCCCACCAGGTCGTTGGGCGCCTTGGCCAGGGCGCGGATGAGGCGTGTCTCGACATACACGCTGCCTGCCGTGCCACGCGAGAATGAGTCTTATGTCGCGAGCGATAAGGTCGTCATTACCTTGGACAGCGCGCCCACCAGGTCGTTGGGCGCCTTAGCGAGGGCGCGGAATAAGCGCCTCTTGGAAGTGCTTGGAGTGAAGCGATGGGCCTGCTTCATGGCCATACAAGTGTGAGTCTTATGTCACAGGCGATAAGGTCGACATTACCTTGGACAGCGCGCCCACCAGATCATTAGGCGCTTTGGCGAGGGCACGTATGAGGCGCGTCTCGACGTGCGCGCTGCCAGACATGCCTCGTGGAAGCGCTTGGAGTGCTGCGATGGGTCCGGCTTCGTGGTATCGTTGTAGCGCCGGCTGAAGCATGCCTTCGCGCTCTTCCAGAAGGGAGTTTATTGCCTGTAAAATAAGATTGAGTTTACATTATTCGCGTGCGCACACATAATAGCACAACAAACAATATTTAGAGACGTAACGAAATGATGGTGGAGCTTTAGTGACTTAGTAATGGTCCACTTACATCTCTAAAGTTCCATTGCAGCAGCTTGCGTCCTATCTCGTAGATAGGCGTGTTGACACGAGACCCGAAGCTCGTAGTAGTTGATGAATTTATTCTCATGTAGTAGACATCTAGCTTGCATTAGAACTATCGACCTTAGTGCCAATACTACGCGCTACTTACTTCTCTGAAATTCCCTTGCAGCAGTTTTCGTCCGATTTCATAAGTGGGCGTATCCACACGAGTCCCGAAGCGCTGTAGCCCGTAGTAGTTGATGAAGCCATTCTCCTGCAGCAGTCGGCAGGCGTTGTCCACGACGTCGTCGGTAGCGGTCACGTTGCGCAGCGCTATGCGGAATCTTTAAGCACGTCTGTGTGTTAATAATATGCTGTGAGGCGACGGATAAGTGTAAAAGGTTGTTTTTATGGCTCGTAAATACTTAATTTTAAACTTTCGCGTTGTATAATTGAATTAATTTAAACAGGTTAAGGNCTGGGGGTACAGAAATTATACTATATTCGTGTACCAGGTAGCCGTAAGTTTTCGAAATTTCTCTATGTCTTTTCTCTCAATCGTATTAGTTTCTAAGAGATAAGGTGCGTGCATTCGCACTATTAAAAGTTTATCTAAGTAAATATTTTAATATCAACATATTTTAAACCGTGTTGTCTTGTAACCTCATAGATTGTTTTTGTAACAGCTACTCAATTTATCCAATAGATGTGTAATTTAACCGCCTGCATACTCTGTATCTGTTTTTATTCAGCCTAAATATATATAATACTTAGGATAAAGTAATTATATCTATTTTTCTTTAAGAATAGATATATATATAATAACGGATAGTATAAAATGTTAATTTCTAATTACATTATTGATTTGTTAAATTACAAAACCTATGTTTCATTTATATTTTACCTGAACCACAAAAACTCGTTATAATGATAACAAAAACACTTTTCATATAAAATAATTCACTTTATTAAATGTAGGAAGACTAATTACAATTTCATTTACCAGAGTAATTACAAAGTCATTTTGTACCGTTCAGTGAATTTATTACATTAATAAGAAAGCCATTTAAAATTCGTAAGTAAGACAATTACACAAAATATTAATTCTTTTGCTCTAAACACGGGAGATGGCACATCAAGCGAAACACTGGCATCTTATGTAAGTTGTAATAGGTGCGATTTTGCATTAAAAATGTATTGTTCGATGTGCTAGGGACTAAATTGTTCAACTAATACCTTATAGATATCCTAAATCAGTCTGTAAACAATTCAGGAACCTTAGTAATCATACTGAAAAATCATTATTGTACGACCTACTGTATTATACTGACCTACATAAATAAGTTATATTATTGCTTATAAATAAATCTTTAGTCTAATCACATTATTATTAACACAACTCAAAAGTAGATAAAATTAAATTATAATAACTTAACTACCTACCTACACAAAAAAGACCTAAAACTATCAACACGAATTTACAACAATAGGTAGGTAGGGATTATTTTATAAAATTCAGGAATGTTTAAATTCTTATTGAAGGTAGGTATAACAGAAATAGATAATTTTACAAGTATTTCGGTAGAATTCTGAAATTCCAATACAAAAATTTACCTACCTATTAAATAGATCGAATTATTTTTTCGATTGAATAAGTTATTCCGTGTCCTTTTAATAATACAGTTAATTATCACAAAAAATATGTAGGCTAAGTTTTCTTTGTAATGCAGACGTTTTCAAAGAAAAGCTGCATGCAAGCAAGATTTTGTATCAATTAGCAATCGTAAAGATAAAAATCCTGTAGCATTCTTCTAATTTAAATGCTTATTGACGAAGTTATATTAAAATATTTTAAAGATAAATAATATTATTATTAGTCATAGCGTAAATGCATAATGGCAACAAGCAGCAAATATACAAAAATACATTTTAATATTTACAAATTTTTGTACAAACCTTAAAAATATAATTTTGAATTAATTCCCTGTTTAAATTTTTAGTAACTGTTGGTAACATCAAAATAATCGTTGGTTTAAATAAAAGAAATACGAGTAACTAGAATAATCCTCTATCTAACGTTAGGACTTTTAAATTCCTTATCAAGTTAATATGGGTGGAGCTATCTTCCAAAATTGTGTAACGGGGGGATAATCCTTCTAGCTGGAACGGGTTAATGGATGTCACACCCTTGTCCTCCATAATATTTATACAGTATACAGCGCACTTCAAAATAAATAATCTACTTTAACTACTTATCTTAAAACTATAGCAGAAACTTGGCTACATAGTGATTAAGATTTAATTGGTAGGCGATCCATGGTGCAGGGATCCGTCGGTCGCCAATGAAACCATATAGCTCAGTTGTCTTGGAAACTTATATTTAAGATCTGTGACGAAACAAAACATACTTATTAGTGGACTACTCCATAAGCAAAATTAATTACTTTATTACTATGCGTGGTATGTACTATCCTCAATTTCCAAGCGCAATCTTTCATTATGCAAAGAAAGATTGAGCTCGAGGCAAATTATCTCTAATCTCATTTAAAAATAGATTGAAGTAAAAATCGGCTTGCTCTAAATATTTGCTCGAGTAGATATGTACTGTTTTTGAAAATAGACTTGGCCCGTATTATAAACGATTATTAAAACTGCGATTGGTAGAATTTCAACATTTTGAGCAGAGCCATACCATAGCTCATAGGTACAGTTAAATAGAGAGTCATACTTTAGTGACAGTCAATAATAGGGGTTAGGTATTATCCGCCCGTGGAGCCTAAAAGAGTGCGGATGAATAAAACAACAGACTGTATAGGTAAGTAAATGATATAAAACTCACTCTAAAGTAACTTCCACGATCACATTGATCATAGTCATGATCGCGAATCCGGCGAAGCCGAACAGGAACTGCCGGATGCCGGAGCCGTCTCGCTTCCACACCTCGAAGAATACCACGTACACCAGCGTTCCGCATGCCAGACCCTGGAAACATAATAGGACTTGGTTAAAATAGTGTCCATACTAAACATAAATATCGTTTCATCCACGAAGACGCGCCCTACCATTCTTCCGCTAATGTTTGAGTGTTATCGGTTCACGCTAAATTATCCATGAGTGCACACGCACACTACAATAATGACGCTCGGATTGCTCGGATCAAACTCCCCGTACCCCGCGCTTCCCTCGACCAACACTTGATGAGGCGCGTCTTCGTGGATGAAACGATCTATACTATACAGGATGTTTCGGAGAGTGTTAGCGAAACACTTAGGTGTAAGGTAGATCGATTTTGTAAACAATTTCAGCCATTTGATCCTATTTTCTTTTTTAAATGTTTTTTTTTTCAGACCATAGATTGATATTACTTTGCAATGTACCAAACTGCTTTCCTATCTTTCAAAATGGCAATGCCCAATGGGAATCTTTTCCTCCGAATTGAAAGTTTGAGCGAGCCTTGTTTTAAACCATAACTCACGGACGACGTTAAAACAATTTAAGTCTTAATTAAAATCAATTTTAATTCAAATTACTTCATCAAAGCATTTAATCTTGCCTTTCTCGTAAATAGGGATATGCTAATCGATTGATCGGTATCAGTGGTTGACATTTTAATTGGTTAAATACCTACTTGGGAAGCACGTAATTAAGTCTGATAATGACTATAGACACATGACCGCTGCTTATGAAACCTATTAAATTCTCATTCATCATGATTTAATAAGTATCTACGTGTAAATAAGTAGGTGATTACCTACTCGTATATCACTTATTTTGGTGAAAATTAATCTTGATGATAGCGGTATTAATCTTTTGCACGCAAGTAGGTAGGTAGGTACCTTTATATAGATTAGTTCTGATTTAAAAAGAAAATAAAAAGTAGGTAAGCCCATTATTAAAGGTTAATAAACTCGGTATTATTATTTCTTAGATATCACAATCAAAATAATTATTGCAGGTGTTTTTCGACCCCAATAAGTAATACCAGTGTAACAAAATCCTTCCATGTCACCAATAAAATTATTCTATTCTCTGCCGACACGTGATACCTACCTACCAAATCGACTCGGAATTGTTAAAAAACTTGGTCTTCCATCTGATTTAGTAACTCAGAAGGTTAAAAGTACCTACCTAGGTAGGTACAGTCACGTGACCTGGATTCTAAAAAAACTTGTACTGGAACAAAAACCTAAAAATATTTTTGTTAATTTGTCCAGACTATTTCAAACGATAGTGTCATCCTAGTCATTAGTTACATTATTTATCATCTATATATATAAAAGAAAGTCGTGTTAGTTACTTCGCTTATAACTCAAGAACGGCTGAACCGATTTAGCTGAAAATTGTCAGGGAGGTAGTTTAGAGCCAGGAGAAGGACATAGGATACTTTTAATCCCGTTCAAAATTAAAAAAAGTCTGCTTATTTATTGCCATTAAGGCGGAACAAAGTTCGCCGGGTCAGCTAGTAGATACTAATCAAATAAAAAAAAACAATAAATAAGTGCTACGAAGCCTCTATTAGAGACGGTCGTCCTCCATTGAAAGAAAGAAAGTATTTATTTGATGCGAGTATTAAAAGCGTTACAAATAAATAACAACTTAAACACTAAAAACAGAGTACACGCACCAAAATGGCATCTGCTCAGTATAAGCCGTGACGGCAGAGAGCACGTCACGACCACTGGTATTCTGCGGATTGGAGACTAAATGCTCTGATGATGATGGTAAAATGATAAAATTCCTAGAAAGAGAACCGGTGTAGAGTACCTACCTATCTAGACACGCGGTCGCGTGGCAGCCAAGTTCAAGTAACAGAAGTAGCGAGCCGCACCGTGTGTAACGACGAACCATTAGGAGCCACTTTAACTATTTCACATGAACGTGTCAAAGGCTTACGCAATTTAGTACTTCATATTACCTGCAACACCACAGAGTAAATGCCCGCCTCGGCCGCTCCCGCGCCGCCCACCAGCAGTATACCGATGCCAATGCCGAACGCCGAGACGAAGGAGAAGGTGAAGATGTAGACGATGGACAGCCAGCGCTTGGTGCCGGCAGCCAGCAGCTCCACGCCGATGCAGAAGGCGATGATGTACTTGTGAGCGGACACCGCGCCGAACATATACCTATGGGTACGAAGAGGTGATAAAGTATTCGGATCTTCGGCGACAATTCTCTAAGTAACTAATTGCTAAAGAAGTGGGTACGGGACTATTCCCAACTCCCGTTCCGACTGCTGCAACTCCTAGGTAGCCAGGATCTACAGCTTGACCGCCAATAAAAACCCAACCAGTGAAGGTCAAGTTTGTCCCGGGGGAAATTTATTACTGTCATTGGACCCGCAACGAAATTAATCAGAAGAACATAGATGACTTGTTGTTTCAACTCAATGTGCTTACTGCTTATTAATTCCAAAGCAACATATGTAATTAACTTTTTATTTGTGTATGTACAATTTCAAATAAGGTAACAAAATATAGATTTCCTTACCATACATTAGCGACAGAAGACTCTAGCCCTACAGCCAGTCCCTCGAACAGTTCGTGGATCGACAAAGCCAAGACGATCAGCAGTCCTCTGAGAGCGGACATCATAGAATCTTCTTCGGAGTCTATATCCAATTGCTGAGTGTGGCTGTGACCATGGCTAAGTCTGCTAGCTCGTGCATTCTCCATTTCTCTCAGTTCATCCTTCATGGACTGAGAATCGCTGCTAGGTTTGCGAATACTGAAAGTCCTAGACAGGTTGGAGGACTTCTTATTCCTGCTGTCAATGTACATGTGGACCAGCTCCTCGATCAAATACATCATGAAGAATCCCATCGACATGATGAGCCCGCCCAAGTAGACCGGCAGGTCTGCTAAGTCACCATCCTCTGAAAAAGAAATAGTAGGTAACAATAAATAAGTACCTTCGCTCAAACCGCAAACTACCCGTCGTCATGTTTTAGAAAGAAACTACCATTGATATCTACTGTGAAAGAAAGAAGATTCACAAGACTTAGGCATAGCTACTTTACCATTATTGTCTGGAAGAAATCGCTACATAGCGATAACACCGCCTAAATTGTGCCGTCTTTGTGTAAGTATCTTTTTCTTTTCTTGCATTGTGTGGTGTATAAAAAAGTGTATTCTATCTATCAAATTCAAATATTTTATTCAGTAGGTACATAGGCCCTTTCCAGGGCACCAAATATACGACATACTTAAATATAGGTACGTCCCAAATATAGCTTGCCCTACCACCACTGCCGGACAACATATGGGCTGGTGCTGAGAAGTGGCAGAAGAAACTCAATCACCTTTGTCAGCCAGGTAGTAATTCTAAAATATCTAGCTCAACCAAGTATAGAAACTCGCCTGTGCTGAGAGTAGGTAGGTACCTACCTAGGTAAGTATAGGTACTTAATGTTGTGTGCATTTTCTGTGAAGTAGTGTGAGGCAGACGAACGGTAGACGACTACGATAAATAAATTAATCAATGCTTATCCCTCACGTATTTTTGTTTTGACAGTCTGGTACACTTTCTATTGTTTGTCGAATATTAAAGTAGGTGAATTAATATTTTTATCGATATCCGTAGATATCGTGACATTTTGTTGTTAAAGTCGAACAAAAAACAACGAAAAAGTAAAGAGGTAATTGTACTTATGATGCTTCTATGTTTTTCTAGTGTTTTCATATTACGGATTTAGGGCCTATACACACTGCGTTGTTTTTCAGGCATGTCGACGACGCACGTTTCATGCAAATGGAATTAATTATGTAGATACCTAATTACCTATCCCATAATAACATTTTCAAAAGCTTTCCAAGATTTTGGGACACATATCAATGACATATCATATAAAAAAACATCTTATACACATAGCGAAAATATTTTGAAAAATGTCAACTGTTATTTCTTTTTTTTTTTTTTTTTGGATGGACTGTCCCGCTGAAACTGTTATTTCTTAGGAAATTATAAGGGAAATTACGTTAAATTTTATCTGTAGCTCTACTAGGTAATAAATTAATAACCCTTCCTTTAAGATTCCGTTATAATTGAATCTGATAGATATCTTTTCAGACTGACAGATATCACGTACCAGTTGTAAATTCACTTTTTTCGTTGATTGTATGATTTGATGACACATTTTATGTGTGCATTGACTGATTATTTTGATTCGGGTTGTAATAAATTAATAAAAGACATTGTATTGTTAATACCATAAACTGTTAATACACAATACAATAAAGTTATTTAGCTTATCAAGTAATCGAATAATATTGCTATTCACCTGAAAACTTCGGATAAACGCGAAACAATACTTATTGAATGATAAATCTCACGTAGGTCTCACTTATCTTTTTAGTAACCATTACAGAAAATCCAATAGCAATAAAATGCAAGTTTATTTTGCCGTTTAGGTAACTTATACTATTTTCGGCTTCGAATGCACTATGATAATCGCAAAAACACACTTGGTAGTTACAACACAACACCATTGTATAGCTAAGTAAGTAAGTACGCTTTTTACTTAATGTTTTTCTTCAATTTTATGTAAGTAGTACTAAACTTAACTTGTCATACGGCATTAATGATCCCAGTGGGCAAACATAGAAGATACAAAAACAACGTTCAATTGCCTTTCGTAATCGTCACTACCATTGTGTGTATTGTCATTAAGACAATTTAAGAAGCTCTTACAAAAACACTCGAATTCGCAGGAAACTATAAGTAAGTAAACACTATTTTATTTATAAATAGTCATCAACATGCTCATGCAGGTAGGGTTGCCAGGTCCAAAATCACAAAAGCCGGACTTTGTGCTTCATTTGGCCGGACATGTGACGGGGGGGGGGTGCAATTAGTGTCAGCTCATGAGTGAGTTACTATCATCATCGGTTGCTGTCCAACATCCTGATGCGTGCGCTTCATATGATTCTGTGGCTCGACTTTCTCCTGGCGCGGCAACCAAATAAAAAGCCTAACAAAAGCCGGACAGGCCGGAGAAGGCAATATTTGGCCGGACAAGTCCCTAAAATGCCAAACATGTCCGGCTAAAGCCGGACGCCTGGCAACCCTACATGCAGGGTCATTTGCTGAAAAGTAATTGCAACTCTACAAGTAACATAATTCAAAGTGAAGATGTGAAGAATTTACTGAAATTTCCACCACGGCTAGGCAATTAGGCAAAGGCCTTCTCTACAATTTTCCTATTAAGAGTCAGCTAAAGACTAAACCAGCCAAGAGCCTCTCCTGTAGTGCACATTCCTGCTGAAAATCAGTCATTGAAATGGTCAAGATAATAAAGGAAAAGGGATTAATTAGCACAACCTTGACAATATGTCATATCACTAAGGGTGGATTCGACCCTCAGATCACTTTCTATGATCTGAGATTCGACCAAACAAGAGTAATTAATCTATTAATCTCAGAATAAATCGTCAGTAATTCGACATTTTGACATAATCCCACACTGAAACTGTCACTGTGCCAGTTATACCAGGAGTTATTCTCGGATAAAAGTTTGGTCGAATCGGGTCTAAGGGTTATTTACATACATATATAGATTATTTACATACCTAGTACTATTTCGGGGTAATTTGTTCGTTTCTAATTAGGTACTTAGATATAGGCATAGGCTTAGATAAATGTGTTTCACACTAACATGTTTCAGGGACTGTAATGTCACGTACCTATATTTGTATTATGTAGGTTTGTTATGATAATTTCGCAATTTTATTGCAAATGTCTTTTTGACTTCAATTAACTTAAAAGTAGGTAGCTAGCCTAGTTATAATAAAATGATAAAACACATATTATTGGTAAACAATAAAGCGTGTCATTAAATTCAATAGATAGGAACAGACTAATTTACGTAGGTCTGTTTTACTACAGAACTTTTGTGAAAACATGTAACTACAAAGTATTCAATATTATAATGATAACATCTTCACGTGTAGGAAGATATTTTTTAATTAGTAATTATATTTAAATTTTATACCCTGTTGTTCGATAACAATTAGGTACCTACTTTACTTTTACTTAAAAGAACAGAACAACTCTGCTAACATTTCTGTTAGGGTGACAGACTTAGGTAATATGGTAGTAGGTAGCCAGCCAGCCCCCCTAGACAAAACGCACTTTTTGATCGAATCGAAAATCAAATCCGTCAAAACTCCATACAAAAAAGGGGCTTTTCGACCACTTTTCGACTGGTTTGCGATTATAATTTGCACTTTGTCTAGACCCACAGGACCAGGCAGACTAAGGCTGAGTTGCACCATATTGCTTTAACTCTACAAACGTCAAAAATTTGTCAAACTCCATACAAAAAATACCGGTATCGTTATCTATACTTATAATAAATCTGTAGAGAGGTCAATTCTGTACATGAAATATATTTTCAAAATAACTATCAGGGGGTGATTAGTGATCGATACTGATGCCAAAAATGCAATCAGTAAAATTTTTGTCTGTCTGTCTGTCTGTATGTTCCTTATAGAAACAAAAACTACTTGACGGATTTTAACGAAACTTGGCACAATTATTCTTCATACTCCTGGGCAGGTTATAGGATACTTAGGAATTCCCACGGGAACGGGCATTAGCGGGAAAATCCTTTTGTATGAAACATCTAAAGCGCTTAAGTTAGACGCTTGAAATTTGGCAAGCAGGTACCTTAGTAAACTTAAAGCTTAGTTACAACAGGATATTGCGAAATTCCAACGGGAACGGGAGTTAGCGGGAAAAAACATTAGTATGAAAAAATCTAAACCGCGTAAGATAGATGAAGGGGGTAAAACGGGTTCCACGCGTACGAAGTCGCGGGCGGCCGCTAGTAGTTACCACTAAATTTAGTTGGTGCAACTCACCCTAATATCAGCCCTACCAAGCGAGTAGAATATTTTTTTCCCCACTGCGAATCAATCAAATCCGGGACCTCTGGGTCCGGTTGTTCTGATGGTTTGCCACTAGACGTCGACTACGAGATATTACACAACACATTACACATAATATTTATTTATTTATTATACATAGTATATGTATAAAAAGTGCAATTATTGAACATCCTATGCTCGTATTAGCGAGAAAGTAACATTTTCTAAAAAATATAGGATTGTCTACGTGTTCAAAATCTTGCAAAAATCTAACTCCGGCAATTTCAGCTGAAGATTAAAAAAACCTACCTAAAAATTATTTAGTAATTACATTACTAATTACGGAAATATCTAAAAAGCGGCAATCTAAGTATGTATTAGATACGTGGGTTTAATAACATCTACGTAACTCGCGTTTACTTTTTAAAATCCTTTGGGAGACATTAAAAATTCAATTAATCTTAAGCAAATAGCAGCAAGGATTTTTTAAATTACGTTTATTTATTTTAGTATTTAAACATAATTTTATATCAGATTTTATCTGATCATATCATTATGTACCTACTCGTAGGTAATGTATGTTGTTAGCTCTTGAAGGAATAGGCTATGGACACACTTGAAAACAATACCCATTACACCATCTCAATTTAGTTTGCTGAAGTGGTCACGTATAGATATGGATTACAGAGTATTTTTTATCTCATGTCATCCAAAATTCTACTTACAATAATCTACGATTAACCTAGGTACCTACTTCAATTTCGATCAATGTTGAATCTCGAGAGATTAAAGCAAGGCATACATTTCAAATTGGTAGATATAATAAGTAAGTAACCAGAATAACATAACTATTACCACGAGAATACTTATTTAGTGAATTTGATTTTTCCATGACTGATTTTAAAACGATGTATGATGGGAGACACGTAGATAGATAAATACATTTTTTGTCCTAATTACGAGTATCACACACAAGATACAAGAGTTTCTTGTTCAAACGGCACGATTTAGGCGGATTTATAGCTAGGAAGCAGTATCCTACAGAAACTCGCGGAAAGACAGTATGGGTTTTTGGTAGTATAGAATCCAGGATCACTGGACCTGAGAAAGTGGTCTTACCACTAGACCTCAGAGGCTCACTTAGCAAAAGTTAATTTTTACTTGAGATTCCGATCTTGGTAGCACGCAAATCATCATCAGGAATTATGCACAATGTTTATCAAACAACACGACTGATGAGATCTGTAGATCCAAATGATTTCTAATCGTCAATCTCGATAATCAAAAAACAATATCTTGGTTTTAAAATGGTAATCGTCCATTGAAAATCTTTGATAAATTATAATGATATTAATCGCATAATTATGGTTTGATAACTACGTAAAACGTAATGTAGGAATTCTGATTTCTGTATCGTAGATTTGATGACGCTTTCTGAATTTGATATCTACAAAACTCGTGCAGGCGATAGCACATCAGAAGATTACATTTCTGTTTTCGGCATTGTCTTCTTTACAACAATAACTATTAAGGTGCCACAATATTTGTAATGCATTTAAAATTTTACATTTTACTAGCTTTAAAATAGAAATTATACGATTTGTCTCATTAGTTTAATTGCTTACAAATGCGTACCTTTAGGTCACTTAGCGTAGATGTCTAACAAACAGGTCTACCTTTAAAGCCGTTAACCGGGACAGGGCTGTTTACTTAAGTTCAAAAGTAGTATTGGTACTTTTAGGCTGAGTTCCACCACCTAAGTTTAACAGTTAAATTTAACGATAACCGGTGTTTTTTGTATGGAGTTTGACAGGTTTTTTACGTTTGTTAAAGTAAGATGGTGCAACCCAGCCTTAAGTTCCAAGTAGGCAAAGTGTGGCTGGCAACTCATACTTACGTTATTCTTTTATGTATGTATGTGTAATAATTAGTATCGGTTTTGTGAAAAATGCCGTAAAATACGAGTGCTTTTTAGTAGATTAGATATATTTAAAAAGTCTACGGTAAGAACGATATAGGTAAGTATTGATACGGGAAAATACGTCTAGCAAGTAAATAAGAAAAGCATTTGGACTTGGACTTATGGAATTTTTCAGGATTTTCCCGTTTTCGTGTTCACCATTCAACAGCAGGGGTTCGCGACAAGATTTTACGTCATGGTGGCAGCTTAGAAATTAAGGTAAAAATTGACTCCATTTGCGAAAAGAAACAAATACACCTTTCTTTGGCACTTTATAATATGGCACCTTTGAAATTCAATAGACAATTTTATTATTTCATTTAGAGGTGCTAATTAACTAGTTATGGGGTTCGCTGTCACCTGACAACTAACAGGGGTTCGTGGAACCGTGGAGTTTGAGAATCCTTGGGATAGACCAAGCGAAGTCGAAGGTGACATTCAATCAATCAAGGTATTGTAATAAGACAGACCTAACCGGATCCACGAAGTATCATAGACACGCGAAGAATTAGTTGATAAGATCAATAAATTAGCACATACAAAAAGCGAGATGATAATTAAAGTAAATATTTACCATGTAGTCAAAGATAATTCTGTACAAATGCTAGGTGTCGATGTTTACAAACTGTATAGAGCCCGTGTAAAGTGTGTAACTAAGTAGGTAACTCGTGTTACATTATATTTGAAACATGGTAATTACATTCCTACTGATCATCCTATATTAAATAAGGAACACAAAAAAGCCTATGTGTGGTACATAGGCTTTTTGCAATGGAGTTTTCATTAGTAGAATAGAAGAGTATAGAATAGAAACCGTTAAAAATAGTAGAAATTAATAGCAATAATACCTAGCTGTACCTACTAAAAGAAACGTCAAACGTCAACTCTTACTGTAAATTGTGTTTTAACCTAGTTCTGATTATATTAGTTGCGGATTCCAAGACAGATAGCTATCCCCGGGACTACTTACTCAACCTTCATTGTTTGGTTTTAATTGGAAGTCAAAATGTATATCCTGGCTGTAAAAGAAGTTTACATGTCCCAATATTATCTAGTTTAGCATTAATCCTATTACCACCTTTTAATTTCGTTAATTAATACATTTAGGTATTTTGTCAATAACTAAGTCACTATCCGTATCATCATCATCATCATTTCAGCCACAGGACGTCCACTGCTGAACATAGGCCTCCCGCAATGCTTTCCATGTTGATCGATTGGTAGCGGCCTGCGTCCAGCGCTTCCCTGCTACCTTTACGATGTCGTCGGTCCACCTTGTAGGTGGACGTCCCACGCTGCGTTTTCCGGTACGCGGCCTCCATTCCAGAACCTTTCTGCCCCATCGGCCGTCAGTTCTGCGTACTATGTGCCCTGCCCATTGCCACTTCAGCTTGCTAATACGTCGGGCTATGTCAGCGACTTTGGTTCGTTTACGGATACTATCCGTATAAAAAATAATATTTTTGTAATTATTTTACTAACGTACAACAATACGTGTAAGCACTATGTACTACTACTAGATTAATTTGGCTGTGATTTTTCTCTAAAATCATCAAAAATTCTATAGGAATTATGTAGCGTTATTACGTGCTAGCTGCGTGCTAGATAAAGGAAAAATAAATATTAATAGATCCATTTTACAACACACTTAATATGAATCTGGGTAGGTCACTAGTAATAAAAATAAACCTACATTATCACCCACCTCGTATCAACTGAAAAGTCCTAGTTTATGTTACGACATCGTACCGCATATTTATGCATCTGTCCGCTCCATTTATAACAACAGTGCAATTCATAATAATACAACTGTAATAAGTGCAGAAACTTACCTTGCAATATCGCGATGTTCTCGTCGACTTCGTGAAGCAAATGCATGAAAGTGGTGGAGAAGAGAACTCCCCCGCCGAAAGCCAGGAGTCCCATCACGAGTTTGTTCTTCGTCCGCAAATCGCCATCAGCAGCTTTGGTGAACCAGTCGAACTTCAATGAAATGGCCATGGGAATCAGCCCGACCATCATTGAAAGGGTGAACAATGTCACCATGGTAATAACCTTGGCTATTAGCGCATCCTGCGTGCTGAACGGATTTACCATCATGGTAGTCATTGTGCTGTCAGTATTATTTTAATTCGCGTAATTTAAATGCGCGTGCGCTGTTTTTGTGCCGGCTGGCGCGGAGCTGTGCACAGAGGGAGGACTCGACTGAGTTTAAGCTTCCTGCGCTTGCGACTCCGGTGTAGGCGGACATGATAACGACTCATTATTAATGATAAAACAGACAAGCAGTTAGCCGGCGCGTCAGAAGAATTGCCGATTGACAGTGCATGCATACAAGCACGCAGCGCGCCGATTATAGCCGTTATTTTCGATAAAACTAATAATACAGGTTTTTCATTTTAAATGCGCCTAATATAACGACCAATAAACAATGTATATTTATAAGACTTAAATGAATTTTTAGCGTCCATGTCTGAATGGTCGGAAAATGTTAGAGTTGACAAGTCAACTCAAGTCTATTTTCAAGACTAGGACTCGTTAGTCACATGAGTCAGTCTTTTCGAGTCATCTGAGTCGTCCGAGTCCTTTCGAGTCTTTTACAAAAGACTCAACATTCTGAAAGACTTGAGCTGTAAGTTTTATTTATAAGCCTCGAGTCGAGTCTTCAAAAATAGCTCTCAACTTTTAATAAAAAATACTCCCAAGACTAGAGTTTCTTACAACACTAACATTTTCCGATAATATCGACGAAAAAATATCGAAGTTTGTAAGATCTAAAGTAGGTGATTATGTATTACTTGGCTTCATGGGATAATCAAATTATTGTCGCATAGCAATAACTTGGCACACCTTGGAAATAGGATTCGAAGCGTATTAATGTTAGAATAATCATAGTTAAATATGTAAGCATTTCTCGCGTAGTCACCTATGCCATATAACTTTATTAAATTATGTTTAAATTAGCAGCTCATAGCAATAAAGATATATGACTATAAGTATTTATCAACTAAATTATTGGTAAATACGCCTAGATTACACTACATAAACTGCTGATTCTTAACAGGTAGGAGTCATTAATATTTTGATACAAGTTTTACTGCGAAACGATTTGATAATAATTAGTAGCATTAAACTATCGAACCGTCCAGAATAATCAGTACCTCTAGCACGAAAAACTCACAACTTCGAATCGTTTGCGTCTTCGAATCATCATCAAGATTTAGTATGAAAACTTAAAAAGCACCCCAGTCAACGTGAGAAATGGTAGCACGAAACTTATTTTGACAGTCGAGATCGTCAAGTTACCGTTAAATTCGAAGGCTAGGTATTGAATTTTGTCGAATTTGCAAACGTTTGGAAGACGAAAGTTGTTCGTGCTAGAGGTACAGCATATTCTACTTCAGCGAAAAAACGTAAGTTTAGTAAGAGTCATACAAGTGATACAAGTTAGCATAAATAAAATCATTCGTTCGTTCGTTCGTTCGTTTCAGCCAAATGACGTCCACTGCTGGACAAAGGCCTCCTCCAAGGCTTTCCACAATGCACGGTCCTGCGCTGCCCGCATCCAAGCTCTTCCCGCGACCTTTACGAGATCGTCGGTCCACCTAGTAGGAGGCCTGNCTGATATTCAATGTGCCTCTTACCATTCGGTGATCGCTTCCTGTTTTGACCGAGTTGATCACAGAGACATCATTGAATATATGCTTCTTCGTCGACAAGATGAAGTCGATCTCATTTTTTGTAGCGCCATTGGGATGCAGCCATGTCCACTTTCGCTGTTTTGGCTTCCTGAAGAAGGAGTTCATCATAAAGAGGCCCTCCCTCTCCATAAAGCCAGCCAGCAGTTGGCCACGTGCGTTCCTCTCTCCGTACCCAAATTGCCCCACTTTCAGCTCATTATCGCTTCGTATTCCCAGCTTCGCGTTGAAGTCCCCCATCACAACGGTAAAATGGGACCGGGAGCTATGTATGGCTCTGGAAATATCCTCATACATAGTCTCCACTTCGTCGTCGGGGTGTTCCGTGGTCGGTGCGTATACCTGTATGACCTTCAGCGAATACCGTTTGGTGATTCTGAGTATAAGGTATGCTACCCTCGCCGAAACACTCTCGATCTGTACCACGTTGTTGATAAGGGACTTGTGAACGATAAACCCGACACCACCCTGGGACTGCTGGTCGCCCTCCCGGAAATAGAGCAGGTTTCCGGATTTGAGGATTATGGTGTCCTCCCCCTCTCTTCGGACTTCACATAATCCTACGATATCCCACCGTAACCTGCTCAATTCTTCCTCGAGTTCCACTAGCTTCACGTCTGTACGCAGTGTGCGAGCGTTGAAGGTTGCCAGGGCCAGAGGTCGTCGGTGTTGGTAGCTTGGCATCCCCCGGGGATTCTTCGCACCCCTTGCCCCACCGTTACCGTGACCGCTACCGTGGTCCGGGATAGTGGGGCCGCCGGGGACTAGGGGCCGTTTTATTGTGTGTACAACCATTTTGGAGGGTTTTGCCCTAATCGCCACGCTTGGCAGGCGGGTTGGCGATCGCAGTTTTTTGTTTGGTTTCGCACGCAGACGCTGCTGCCCGTCTGGTGCTACAGGGGTTTTGTCGCCTCTTACGACACGCCTCCTGTCGGCGGTGGGGAAAAGTATTCTTTTACGGCCGTCCCCACACGGCAAATCATTAAGTATAATTAATTATGTGGACAGATTTCCAAATCTTCCCGCTTTGTTTAAAATCGAGCCTGAAGGTGGTTACCCTTTACCTAATTAGTGCATTTTTCCTGTGATGCGCTAAATATTTTGTGCTACGCGACTGGATGACGAACGAAGGCTATTTCTAACGCAGGCGAAGCTGTAACGCATCTGCGTTGTGAAAAGCTGACAGAAAGCTACTATGTCTCAAACGCAAGTCAAACGCTTCATGAACACTTGCTGTTTTTTAGTGAAAAAATAAATAACGCACTATGATATAACCAAAGACTATGTGCGTGTAACGAAACGTCTCCGAAACGGGTGGCGCGCCTGTTTAAACCTTAACACAACTCAACAAAGTGTAAATTAACTTGATGAATACTAGCTGTCACTTATATGTTTGTTTACATTTTTGTAAATGAATAAAATGAAATTCTAAGTAGAAAGTAAAGTAAGTGAAGCCAGTGTTCTAATAAATGGAACTATAACTGTGATAATTAAGTACTAAACTCTAAACCCTTTTAAATATAGTTTCTAATGAGAGGATTTAGATATTTTAAATTAATTTTAAATAATTAATTAAATTACCAAAATGCATAAGAAATTTGTAGCAATAACATTGTTTGCATTCATTTCCTTGTGTATTTGGATTTTATGGAGTACAAATATTGACATGAACAACACATTATTATTAAGGAAAAGTAACTATGATTTCATGAACAAAAACTTAATCAATCCTGCCAATACAATCTGTGATGGTAAGTTGGAACAAGTAACCACTTTCTATAAAGTATTTTATCTTATCATCAAATGATTCTAAACCTCTCCATACAGAAAAGCCATTTTTGGCAATAATTGTGACGTCATACGTGGGGCATGTCGAGCTACGCAGCGCCCACAGAAGGGCCATGCCAGCTGGACTATTGAAATCTATGAATGCTATAAGAATATTTTTACTTGCAAAAATACCTCCAAATGAGAAGTAAGTAGCTACTTGAAGTAGAACTTTGATTAAGATACTTTTTTATCTAATTTGTGATGATATTTTCAGATACATTACCCAAGAAGCTATTCAGAGCGAACAAGAGATCTACGGAGACATTCTACAGGGATCATTTTTAGAGAACTACAGAAACTTAACATACAAGCATCTCATGGGCCTAAATTGGGCCAGCAATGTGTGCCGACCTACATACATACTTAAAGTCGACGATGACATAGTATTCAACATAAATAGCACCCACAAATTCATTAAATCTTTAAGTGTAAAAGAAAACTTATTGGTGGGTTATATGCTAAATAATACCAAACCTAGACGAAATAAAGAAAACAAGTGGTACGTAACACAAGAAGAATATGTTTGGAACGATTATCCACCATACTTGTCGGGATGGTATTACATAGCAACATCTGATGTAGCAGCAAGACTATGTGAAGAAGCTCTATACATTCCACCGTTTTGGATAGATGATATTTACATAACCGGCATTCTAAGCAAAGCTATAGGAGCCAAACTGACACAGGTACCTCAGGATTATTGGCTAGAATATTACGAATTGCTTGAATGTTGTCTCACTGACATGATAAACAAGTTTATTAGATGTGACTTTGTGGTAGGACCAAATGGTGGAAGAAACAACCTGATAGTAGAATTCAATCAGGCTTTAAATAATTGTGATCAATGGAGAAACTGTACGGCAAGACCCAAGGAAAGAAGATTAAAGGATGTTTGTGTTGTCAACAGAGAAAGAGACATTTTCAGTGACGGTCAGGGAGAAGTTCATTTGTTAAAGTTGTGATTGAAAACAAATTAACTAATTATTTGAACATACATATTTATTTATAGCAATAATACTTAAAGTTATTGTACTGTAAAATTATGGCACAGTAATTGAAAACATGCCTTCACATTAAGTGAAGAATAGAGATTAACTATCATTGTGATCTATTGCTAATTTCATTTATAACTTAACTCATTCAGTCATCAATCAAAAATTATGTTTCATAATAATATCTTGTCAAACTTGAAATAAAATTAGCTATTACATAATAAGCTCTTATATAAATGTTAATAGAAAATCAATATAACATCAGTCAATATGTATTAATAAAAATTGAGCAATAAAAAGTTTTCTAACAAAGTTGTATGTAATTGGTCCTACTTAAGAGCTAAGTATTAATTTACTTACATCAAGACTCCAACCATGAATTTGTAACTGAACTTCCATTTACTGTGCAGTCTTTGAAACCTTTCATTACGTACGAAGATTGATACCATTTCAAACTGTCAGTAGATTCAATTTCGTTAAATTCTTCTTCATAGTCATCAACATTCTCTTGAATTTGTAGGTTTTCTAAATTGTTACTGATGGCATCACCAAACACATGGAAGTCATTACAACATGAGATATTTTCTGTATTCGGACTTCTAAAATCCAGTGTGACAATCCGAGAATTTCTGGGTATTCTGCAGCCACTTGTGAGAACAAAGTTATCTGGGTTCACCACTTCATCTTGATTGCTCACATTCTTCTTTTTTATGAACACATACATGTTAGTTGGCGGCAAGGAACTGAAGAAAACTTGACTCAAAGTCTCTGATGTCACCAGAGTTCTGTAAAAATTAAAAAAATGCAAATATTAATAATTTGGTCTGTAATACTGCCGCACAATTTATAAACGCAGTAAGTAACACGTGAACAGTTTCGAGAAAAACGCGATCAAAGTTGAAATTTTATTTTGGGGTGTCTACAATTAGTTATACAAATAATTGTAAAAAAAAATATATGGGCTTATAGAGCTAAACTCAAAGTTTATTTTGATATGAGGTTTTTGTATTTTAATTAATATTTTGTATTTAAAATTATTAAAAAACTGTTTATGTTATGGATTAACTAAGTTTTCGTTCGATACTTGCTACCCATGAATGCAGTATGATTGTTCCTTACTGCGTTTATCAGTAGTTTTTGTTACTTACGGTACATGTGTTAAATGATTGATTTAAATTTTAATTCTTACAACGTAATATGTGCGCCGTATCTTTACAACTTACTGCATTTATGAGTGGGAGTGTAAATCAAAATAATTTATCAAAACTTTAAATGCGCAGTAATAATACAATTATACTGCACTTATCATAAGCCAATAACGCTTTCATGTTGAACTTTCCCAAATAACCAAGGGGTAAATGAAACAAGTATTACAAAATAATTGCTGAGATCGCTTGTTATTAAATCAAAAATTAAGATATGGCACCCACTTTTAGATCTTAAATATACCAATCTAATAAAATAAAGACTCGGTCGTTTGTTTCAGCCGAAAGACGTCCACTGCTGGACAACGGCCTCCCCCAAGGATTTCCACAAAGACCAGTCCTGTGCCGCTCGCATACCTGGCACCTGACGCGACCTTCACCAGATCATCGGTCCACCTAGTGTGAGGCTTGCCCAAGCTGCGTCTTCCAGCTCATGGTCGCCACTCAAGAACTTTCCTGCCCCAGCGGCCATCAGACAACTTATAGTGTCTCCAAACTTCAGAGGAGTGGGTGCAGCACGGCATTTGACATGATTTTTGTCTTGTCCATTAAAGACCCATTTGTTGAGAGGCTCTATTGAGGCAATCGAGGATTGAGCTTAGATCCTCCACGTTCTCAGCCATGACTACGATATCGTCCGCGAATCGAAGATGGGTGATGTACTAGCTGATGATATTTATGCCCAATCCGCTCCAGTCCAGAAGCTTGAAAACATCTTCCAGAGTGGTAGTGAACAGTTTTAGAAATATGACATCTCCCTGTCTGACCCCTCGCTGCAACTGAAGTCCTGATCCCGGAGACGGACTGACATTGTGGCCTATTCGTACAAGCCCTTCAACGATTATATCTATAGTAAATTTGGCACCGTTGGAGAGACTGTAGCTTGAAGAGAGAAGTCTTTCTCATAGACCACAAATGCCAGACAAAGTTGCTGATTATTCTCCTCAGTTTTCTGCCATAGATAAGTATGTGGTCTATCATACTAAAGCCTTATCGGAAACCGATTTGTTCGGGAGGCTAGATGTCGCGTGAAACCATTCATGATGACTCTCAAAAACAGAATCAGAAGTGAGATGGGTATAAAATAAATTCTTCAACAAGGTTTTGTTGCCTTTTTTGAAGAAGAGTATCACCACACTTCTGTGCCATGCCGTAGGCGTTTTTCCCTCAAGGATGACGGAATCGAATAGCTTCTAAAGAGCCTTTAGTACCGGCGTTCCGCCTGATTTCAGAAGCTCAGCCGTGATTCCATCATCGCCCGGTGCCTTGTTGTTTTTCAGCTGTTTGAGAGCCATTCTAATCTCGTACAGACACGTCCGGGATATCTTCGGTATAGTGTCGGGTCAATCTAGCTCTTGGGTCTTCGGCTAGATTTGTCATTTGGACAGGTTTTCAACTTCTTCCAATAACGTAAGAGTCAGCCACTGCGTTCATAACATGTTAACACCTAGGCAGCACTCTGACAATCCTTAGTATGTACGCAGTATAATTGTAATTACTGCATTAATATTAAGTACAAGTCATCTGTTTTTCCTATGGAAACATAATATCAGTGTGTGTTTAAGTGGAATTACTGCACATATACTATGTGCAAGGTGAACTTAACAATTGTAGAAACATAATAAGAATGATGTAATTGGTACATACTGCACTATTACTGTGTAGCAAATTAAGTAAGCGCGAGTATTCACGTAATATTAAGTTATTATGTGCTCTTCAGGGTTCGAGGATATATATCAAAGGATATATATCTTGATATATATCGGATATATATCCGATATATATCAAGCTGGTTTTATTGATATATATCAACTTTTAAAATTTGTTACTGTATTTATACTTTTTGACATAAGATTTTTATTTTTTTAGTTGATTTTGCGGTATTTAAAAGAAATTTTATGTTTTTGCTTTATTTGTCTGATTTTAAGTTTTAAAAACATTAAAAACATGTTTATGTAACACTTATGCAATAATATTCATGAATAATACAAAAAAATAATAGTATGGCTTTCATACAAAATGGATATATATCAAAGTTGATATATATCTGATATATATCATAAATATCCGATATTTTGATATTTATAATAAATATCGGATATTTTCGAACCCTGGTGCTCTTACTGCTAACATAGTATGTGAAGAAACCCACAATCTGCTCTTTACTGCGTTTATGATAACATGTATCTTCCGTTCTAAGATAGATAGAAAAAAACGGGTCTTTGATTCTTATAGATCGCGATGTCAGGATTCAGAATATTCAAAACAATCATAAATGCAGTAAGTGGTACTTACTGCGTTTATAAATTGTGCGGCAGAATAGATGACTATACAGATGACAGCACATTGAGATAAATGCTTCTTATGTGTTTGTAATAGAGGCGAATTTGGAACAAAAAAGTGTAGATACATCTAATTTGCTGTAATATGTGCACTACCTGGATGAATGATGTTTTATTCTTACCTGAACACATTACGCTGGATCTTCTGGTCATTGGCAATATGAGGAGAATGGCACTGTGGTTTATGGACGGCGGAGGGCAGAATTAATCTGTACACCTCCTTACACGTCACTGGAGTAGCACCCAGAGCTATGCAAACTTCTTCTGGAGTTGAAGGACCGCCTATCTCTGCCAATAAGCTCTAGAACAACGAACAGTATAATTTAGAAGATGGTTTAAAAAAGGAAATGAGTAAACAGTAAACACGCATGTGATTTATTTACCTTCAAAATAAAGTCCAAATTATCGAGTGCGGTCGATGCTATCCTAAAATGCCTCTCAGACTGAAAGCTGTCCTTCTTTTCTTCGTCCTCACACATCTTCTTTTTTGTTACTATTTGTTTCAACCACTGGTAAGTGTACGGTATTTGTAACCTCTGGTAAGCGATGAATTTTATGAGTTCCACGACTACATGACCACATGATATAGAAGTTAACTGATCTCCAATATCTAAGTTTATTGCTATAGATTTCTGTTTATTGCAAGAACCCATAATTAGATTGAGAATCGAGTTCAAAGGGATAGATGTAGATGAAACCAAATAACAAAACTCAAAAGCAACAAAAAATTCAAAAATGCGATTTTTAACCGTTTCCCCCTCCCTCACATGTCACCACATTTCTTTCTGTCAGACGGACAACACATGACAGCTTACTTTTTAAATTGGTACAATGTTTTTAGGTCTAGTTAAAAATAATTATTTTACCACAAAACAAAACATTTTTTTTGTAAGCTTAACTTTTAATTTAATCATAAAACTTAACTATTATTGTACGATTATAATAACAAAATCAATAATTCATTATTTTATTCCTAGATTGAAAAATAAAACCTTGGTCCTAAATTTAAAATAGTGGCTGCTAATGCTATTCAAAATTGGAATTAATCAAATAAAAATATAATTATACGCGCAATGAGTGACAGTTTGCATTCTCATTTTCTTTTGACTACGAAAAATTAAGTGAACTTCTAAATAAATAATCTAGACTAAAAAAATGTATCGAGTGCAGAATATTTTAAAATATGGGATTTTCAAACCAAAGTATATACCTAAACGAAGCTACGCTAAAGAAGTGAGGTTTGGTCCCGATGTTAGATCACTTATGTTACAGGGTGTTGATATACTGGCTGATGCCGTAGCTGTAACCATGGGCCCAAAAGGGCGCAACGTTATATTAGAACAAACTTATGGTCCACCGAAAATAACCAAGGACGGAGTCACAGTAGCAAAAGGGATAGAGTTAAAGGATCGATTCCAAAACATTGGAGCTAAGTTGGTGCAAAATGTTGCAAACAAAACTAATGAAGAAGCTGGAGATGGAACAACGACTGCTACAATATTAGCAAGGGCTATTGCGAAGGAAGGTTTCGAGACAATCTCCAGAGGAGCAAATCCTATTGAGATTAGAAAAGGTGTGATGGTAGCTGTAGAAGCTGTAATGCAAAAATTAAAAGAAATGTCTAAGCCCGTCAAGACGTCTGAAGAAATAGAGCAGGTTGCAACAATATCTGCAAATGGTGATCGATCCATTGGAAAACTAATAGCTAATGCTATGAAAAAGGTTGGTAAAGATGGTGTAATTACTGTTAAAGATGGGAAAACTCTAAATGACGAAATGGAAATAATAGAAGGGATGAAATTTGATCGTGGCTATGTGTCGCCATATTTTATAAACTCTACCAAAGGGCCTAGAGTTGAATACAATGATGCTTTAGTTTTATTTTCCCAGAAAAAAATTTTCACAGCGACACAATTAGTTCCAGCTCTAGAAATAGCAAATTCTCAAAAAAAGCCCTTAGTAATTATTGCAGAAGACTTCGATGGGGAGCCTCTATCCGTTTTAATAGTCAACAAACTTAAAATTGGCCTGCCAGTAGTTGCAGTTAAAGCTCCTGGATTTGGAGACTATAGAAAAAATTGTCTCATGGATATGGCTATCGCTACAGGTGGTTGTGTATTTGAGGATGATCCTAACTTAATTAGGTTAGAAGATTGTCGTATAGAAAGTCTTGGAAAAGTTGGCGAGGTGGTCATTACAAAAGATTCGACTCTTTTATTAAAAGGTCACGGCAATAAAGATGATATTAAACAGCGGATTGAAGAAATTAAGGAAGACCTATCAACTACAACTGGTGATTACGATAAGCTGAGGCTTATAGAACGAATGGCTCGATTACAGTCTGGAGTAGCTGTTTTACTCATTGGAGGGTGTAGTGAAGTAGAAGTTAACGAGAAGAAGGATCGCGTGAATGACGCTCTGAATGCCACAAGGGCAGCTGTTGAAGAAGGAATTGTACCTGGTGGAGGAGCAGCTCTGCTTCGTTGTATTCCTGTTCTGGATAAAATAAAAGCTGCAAATGCTGATCAGGCAACTGGAATATCTATCGTTAAGAAAGCTTTACGCACACCTTGTTTGACTATTGCTAGCAATGCAGGATTCGATGGTGCTGTAGTCGTGTCTAAGGTGGAAGACATGGCTGATAACTTTGGTTATGATGCAATAAATAATGAATACGTGAATATGATTGAAAAGGGAATTATTGACCCGACGAAGGTGGTAAGAAGAGCTTTAACTGATGCAAGTGGCGTAGCTTCACTACTAACAACTGCTGAAGCAGTTATTTGTGATTTACCTAAAACAAAAGAATCTGGCCCAGATCTATCAGCTATTGGAGAATAATAACAGATTTTGGTGATGATGACATGCATTTTTTGTTGATATAATTTATTATTGTAAATTCTGGTACATAATTAAATTAAATAATAGCAAAATTTGAAGTTTAATTTAATTTCAACAATAGTGTCTTTATAAACTTTGTTAAATTAAACAGGGTTAAAATAAATTGTGTTGGTTACTTCTTTATAAACTTTACTAAAGCTCCAGAGCGTTTCCAATGTTTTGCCCTACACAATCAACTAAAACATATCAACTTTAAACAAAGTTGACTGTTAATGTTTTTGTTGATAGTGTAAAGCAAAACTCACGTTACCCGGCTTTTTAAGTTTACTTAAACAGGCCATGAGAGGAACGTCTCCATTACGCCAATATCAAAATATAATCTAATATAATCTAAATATAATCGCGTTTGACTCCATTTAGGTATGACCACATATCTGTGGGTATGACTAAAAAAAAGATGTCATCTGATGACTTCTTCTGTCACTGTCAAACTTGGCGGGAACTTTTATTTTGACGTGTTGTGATGTTGGTTAATAATTTTTGGATGGGGGTTTCCGTCTCGCGAGTGTCAGTGGCTACACGTGTTTCAGGAAAACAATTAGTTTTGGTGTAATTACTAGTGTAATCTTTTACAGAAAACCAATTTTAAGCTAAATTATTACTAAAACAAGGGTGGTGGTACATAAGTTTATTTATTCTCGGTAAGTTTTAACAAAAATGGACCCTAGTCCTCCCGACCCGCCTGATCCTCCAGATCAGACGGATACAATGGAGGTCTCCCAACCCTTATTCTCCCAAACGGCAACTAAACGCCGCCTAGATACGGAGGTTGACTCCGAGCCCGCCAAGAGGACAAACACAGACGGATCTTCACAAAATCATCAATCGGTGTACACACATCCCTCACTTGTGATTGCTCCTAAAATATACAGCGACCAGGACAAAGGCCCCTTTATCGTTCACGTTTCCCATGTGGAAAATGAACCTTCTTCCCCAGCTTATATTCAACCCATGAGATTTGGCAAATTTCTGGTCACTAACAAGATACAGGGAATTATTTTAGACGGTGTCAAAAAAATTGGCAGAAACAGGATTTCTGTCGAATTTCTTTCATCCACTGCTGCCAACAATTTCCTTAATAATGAAATTTTGTCCATGTACAAATATGTAGCTTCCATCCCAACTTATAACGTGACCCGCATGGGCCTCATTCGAAATATCCCTACAGACTGGACCATGGAGGAACTCGCAGAATCCTTGACTACCCCAGACGGCTGCGGTATCCTTTTGAAGGCGCGCCGTCTCAATAGGAAACTAGTTCAAGAAAATCAAACTTCCTGGGTCCCCACACAAACAGTCGTAGTCACATTTAAGGGTCAAGTTCTCCCGGAAAGAGTCTTTTGCTTCCACAACTCATTACCAGTTGAGACGTACCAACTCCCAACTATCCAATGCATGAACTGCTGTCGTTTTGGCCACGTTAAGTCTCAATGCCGATCCAAGCCAAGATGCTACCGATGCACACAACCACACTCTGCTGAGGAATGCCAAGTTACGGAAGACAAAGCTACATGTATCAACTGTCAAGGCCCCCATTTTGCNCATGCCACGCTAGACGTAAACGCTCTTAATTATTGAATAAATTGTTCTTTTTTTTTTCAGATAATTAAAGAAAGATCTGCATCTCTGAAAATGTCTATTTGTGACCCAGATACTTCGGATGAAGAAAGTAATCAAAACAAAAAAGTTTACAAATCAAAACCACAGATGAAGAGAACAAAACTTACTTCACCAAAACCACAAAGGGTTTGTTTTAAGTTTTCATAATCTATACTCTTTATCTTGCAACATTTTGAATTTATTCAAACTTATATAGCAATTAATTGAAGCAGGAAAACTTCTATCTTGTTTTGATTTAATCCAAAAGTTGGCAAGTTGCCTACTGCCACTTTTAAATTTATTCAAGACCTGGATCGTCATCAATTTATTCAAGATTGGTTAATAATATGGTTTTAAATAATAACTAAATTATTTAATAAAGATTATTTATTATATCACATCCATTTTTATGTTACAGATGTCTGCCAAACAAGCAATGGAAAACATGCAGAAAATCAAAAGTGAATCCAACCGCATGCTCAGAGAAAAAGAAGTGTCTTTACCATATCACAGGCCCAAAGCATTGTCACTGCAAGACATCATGAAACGAAGAAAGCCAGCAGTTACTTCAGATGGGAAAGCCCTCCCCATTAAAATGAATGAAGAACAGTTGAAACAATATGTGTAAGTCAATAAGTCTAAATATTTATACTCTTATTCGTAACAATGAACATAAACAGCTACAATAAACAGCTTATTAAACCTATTTTAACTATTGCATTGTTTTATCTCGTACCAACTTGGTGCTGTCATTATTTGATAGAAAGTGACAAAACAGTGCAATAGTTAAAATAGGTTTATTAAGCTGTTTGCGTTATTATTAATAAGGGTATAAGTCTTTATTATTATGTATAAAAACTGTAATGTTTCATTAATTTGGTAAAAAATACAGAATTAATACTGAATCAAACTTTTTGTCTTTTCAGCACAATGCTTGAACAAAGGCAAAGAGAAATGATGGAATTATGTAAAAGTGATACAGAGGAAGATGAACCCATTGATACAAATGAGGATATGAATAATATTCCTGTGAATAACACGGTTACTGATAACATTGGTTCTGATAATGCTAATGATGACGAAAAAGATTTTACTGAAGCTCCACAAACATCAACTGAAGAGAAAGAACTAAACAAAGAAACATTGTCTGAGGTCAATGCAAAATCACCCCAATGGAATAGTCATACAGATGAAGAAATTAGAGAAAATGATGTGCATGAAGTTTCTGAAATATCTCATGAAGAAAAGGAACCAATCAATGAAATATTGACTGAGGTCAATGCAAAATCACCTCAATTTAATGAAACAAAAGGTGACACTTCTGAAATTGCAGAGGTTGACCCAAATAATAAAGATAGTGTAGATGCTATTAATAAATCCGCAGATTTATCTGCAGAAATAGAGCTGGTTTATAATGATTCTGTTGAAGATGATACTATTTCAAAAGTCGATGTAAACAATACAGAAGATATTGAAATGGAGAATAATGCAGAAACTGAGAAATTATTGTCAAATAATATAAATGATGATAAAGTTCATGAAAATGAAGGGATTGTGAATGAAAATACATCAGAAAGCTGTTCTGAAGATGGTAAATCTAAAACTGGCCAAAATAACACTGAATTAGAAAGTCAGCTAATATCTTTACAATATAATGACTCAGAAAATACTGAAACAATCAATACTGAAGACATTGAATCTGGTAATAACATTTCAAAGGAAGATGACATAAGTTGTGACAAAACTAAAAATAATTCAGCTGATGAATTTGATATGACTGAGTTTCCGGATGATGATGCGGATATGAATGATATTAATATGGATGAAATAGATTCAATCATTGAAAATGCAGAGATCATAAAAAGTGAGTTAACATTTTGTCAGAGCACTAAGGATATATTATTAGTAGCAATGATGATGATAGTCATAGAAAATGTCCATTATTTAATTGAATTTTCTTTTGTTTTAGATACTAGTGCAAATTTTAATTCACCAGCACTTGTAAGAGACAATATACCAGTGTTGAGTGTCAAACCGAAGTTGACAGGAGCCCCAGGAATGGTGATTGACTTGGATGGTACTGATCCAAAGGCACCAAGGAAAAGTGGTGTTCAATTGCTAAAAGAGAGATTTACCTTCTTTTCTAAATTGAAGACGCCAGAGGAAATGGAGAGAGAAAGAGAAAAAAGGTATTGTCTTTTATTTAAACTTTATTGAATAGAACTTCTTAGAAATTTGAAGAATATTTTTGGTTGTTTTTTTAATTATGTATTTTTCGTTTATAGGCAAAAACCTGGCACTCTACATCTAAAACTAAAGCAAGAATTAGAAGAAAAAATTGCTGAGCAAAGATCTCTTGAATGGGCCAAACGCCTTGACGGCGAGAAACAGCAGCAAAAGGAATTAAATGCTATCAGAGGTGAAGACTCTGAACCAGAAGATGAACTTGACAATTTAGAAGCAAAGTTGGATGAAGATGATGCAGTGGAGAAGGAATCGTCATCAGAAGGTGAAGAAGAACCAATAGAGGATGATGTTTGCCTTAAAGACAAGCCAAGGAAAAAGAACTCCTTGATAGCTGATGAGGCAGAAGAATCTGACGAAGATGGAACAGAACAGGGTGGGGTTGATGATGAAAAGACAAATGATGATCATAATGAAGATGATCTTGAAGATAATGCTGAGGTTGATGATGATGTAGACGCAGATGCCGAAGTAAGCGAGGAAGATTCCAGTGAAGAAGATTCTTCGGAATCGGAAGATGAGAAGGAGACGACTAAGCCTAAAAAGGGAAGAATTCTAAAAGCTTTCGAAGATTCTGATGACGAAGACACACCTAAATTAAATAGCGATGATACTGCTCCTGTTGTAACCAATGTAGCAAGTGAAGTTTCAGATACTGATAAACCTTTAACATTGCAAAGTCAAAGTGACGTATTTACAGATTCACAAGGTAGATATTTTCCTAAAGACGTGCTGCGTTTCTTAGATGTTTTATAGAAAGTTTCATATTTAAATAACTTTTTTTCAGATGATGTTCTACACTTGGCTCAAGTACCGAAACAAACATCGGGAGAAATTTTATCAAGTCTAGATTGTGTAGATGACAAATTACAAAGCAACAGCAAAAAAGATGATGAACTTTTGGGCACGCAAACATTCTCAATTTTGAATAGTACAAATACAACAAATGACATAAACCTGCAATTAGAGGGTCCTGAAAAGCTCAATGTTATATCTGAAACTCAACCTTACGATGTATGTATTATGTTTAAATTCGATTAAAATCAATGTAACATCTTAAACATGACATAACATTAAGAAATACACAATTGACACATTTATTAATAGTTTTGTTAACTTTTTCCAGGATAATTTGGATGCAGTTGTAGGCATGTGTTCTGGAAGCTTCTCGCAAAATTTTGTCGAGTTTCAACCACCAACCACTCAATCACAGCTATCCCAGTCGCAACCTATTGGAGAGGATTTACTTAACATGTGCACTGGCAACTTTTATGATAACCAGTTCGTATCTCCAGCTGACAATGATAAATTTAATACTAGTGATGATATCTCTCAAGATCCTACACCATGCGAGCCAAAAATCGTTGATAGTATAGAAAAGAACAACAAAAACGTATTGAAATCAGTTCAAGATCTTACACCATGTGAGGCAAAAATTGATGAAAGTATTGAAAAGAACAGAAAACATGATGAAAATATCTTGAAATCAGTTCTTGATGAATTAAACGAGCCAGAAATAGAAGTTGCCAAACCATTGAAGTTCTTTTTTGATGGCAAAAACAGTAATGAACAAAAGAAAACAAAAATGGATAAAGAAAATGAAGAACCTACTAATACACAAGCTAAAAAGAGATTTGTGATTGATTCTGATGACGAGACTAATGATAATACAGAAGATAAAGGTGAACTGAAGAAGAAAAAGAAGTTTAAAAAGAAGAAACTTGAACAGCGTGCACTGCAGATATCAGGTATATAATACAAAGAAAGAATACAAAAGTCTTAATTTTTTAAAATATCCTTGAAGGTTTTTTCATCATCATCATGTCAGCCATAGGACGTCCACTCCTGAACATAGGCTTCCCCTAATGCTTTCCACGTTGATCGATTGGTAGCGGCCTGCGTCCAGCGTTTCCCTGCTACCTTTACGATGTCGTCGGTCCACCTTGTAGGTGGACGTCCCACGCTGCGCCTTCCGGTACGCGGCCTCCATTCCAGAACCTTGCTGCCCCATCGGCCGTCAGTTCTGCGTACTATGTGCCCTGCCCATTGCCACTTCAGCTTGCTAATCTGTCGGGCTATGTCAGCGACTTTAGTTCGTTTACGGATACGAAGGTTTTTTATTCATTTATATTTGCAATTAACATTTTTTAATTCGCAAAAAAAAGAAAAAAAAATATATTTAAACTTTTTAGACGATGAAGAAGAAGAATATAGTGGACCAGAAGAGGCAGATGAATATATTTTATCAGACAATGAAAATGAAGAGGAAAAGTTGGTGGAGTATGATTCTGAAGAAAATGAGGTATGTGTGAAGATATTTTCCAAAGCCTTTCTTTCTTTCTTTAAAAGCTTAGCATAGTTGTCAAGGTCAGGGAGAAATTAAAAGACCAGTGAAGTCTAAAAATACTCGTAGTACTTTTTAAAATTTTATTCCCATAATATTCCCCTCGTAGTAAGCTAAATAATGTTTGTTTGTGTATCACGAGTGTATTCACCATAATAGTCGAGCGCGGCGGCGGGAATTCTACTCGCGTTCCTCGGATCACAAGTCGGCCAGTCCGAGACCATCACATTTCGACTATTGTCACTTTGAACTCGATAAAAGAAAGTTTTATATTACAACTCTACAGAGAGAGAAAGAGATGTTAGTTAACTGATTTCCGCAGTTTATTTGCGAGGTTGAGCACCTAGTAACACTTGTAACATGCTAACAATAACAATTATTACAGGTGGAAGTGCAACCTCAGCTAATAAAGAAAAAAAAGAAGAAAGCATCCGAATTCTTCGAGCAAGAGGCCGAATTGACGTCTGAAGACGAGTGGGTGGGGTCGGGCGACGAGGACGAGGCAGGCCTCGACCGCATGGAGCGCGAGGAGGGCGATGCTGATACCTTCCACCAGGGCCGACTGCAGAGGGAGCTGGGGCAGATACACATGTCAGTAGCATAGATATAAGATCGCTTTTGAGCAGTTTCGATGTTTTATTTCTTTTTTTTTGTTGTCAGTTTTGAGTGGTGTGCAATAAGGAGTATCTTTCTTATGATGGTTTCAGGTCCATATTGGCCGTTATCGCTGATAGATCAGTAATTCAGTACCTATGTGCGTTTGTATTAAAGATCTTAAGACCGCTGCTTGCGCGCTTCTGATTTAACGAAGCATTTGAATTTGAACAAACTCGTGTCCCTATGAGGTATCATCATGTCGAGTCACGATTTAGGCAGTCAGCACAATACTAAACAACTTGCAGTTGCGTAGAGGTGCTGTATGCTGATGAATCAAGCATTTTAAACTAGCCTTTAAAAATATTATGAAGTCTGACGCCAAAGATGGAAGAAAATTAGACATTTTATAGAAATTTGGAATCTGTCTTTTTTACAGGCGAGACGTGTTAGACCAAGACAAGCGTGAAGTGAGATTGATTCAGGAGTTGCTGTTTGAAGACGGAGACTTGGGCGGCGGAGGCCGACAGCGCAAGTTCCGCTGGCGAGATGCAGGTCTGTTATAGCAAGCCCCAAACACAATATTTTGTAAAGAATACACATACCTAGAAATCTAGAAATTCTAGAATATCAGAATGTATGCTTTGTCAAAATCATAATAGAATTTAACCATCCCCTGTGACTCTTTGTTGTGTTCTTACCATATGTATTTAACTACGAATGAACCATAATTTTTCTGTGTTAGATGGCGAAGAAGCAACTGGGACTGTGCCAGATGAATTGAAAGACACTCAAGAGGAAGAGTTTGAATCGGAGGAGCAGTGGCGCAAGCAGAGGCACGAAAGGGAAATGTTCTTGAGGCAATTGGTAAAGTATTATTTATTGACTCCTGCTTATTTGAATGAACCTTATTTTTAATACTTACAGAACATTTTTTTTGCAGAAAAACGAAGGCGAAAAAGAAGATGATTTGGACGTCAGTGTGAATCGGACAACGATAATTAAAGCTAATCTCACCTCAAGAACCATGTCCAGTCTGCTAGAAGAAGTCAATCAGACTAAAGTCGAAGTGGCCCACACCTTTGCTGTTCCTGAGAAGAAGAAAGATATACCTAGCCCAAAGAAACCGTTCCCAGTATTCCAGGTACTTATTTGTATATTTATTTGTGTTTTTTAAAAACTACTTATGAGCTTTTTTTTTTTGTTATGTAGTCTTTTTACATAGGGGTGCATTTTAGTTTGAGTAATAAATAGCTCTTGATATCCTGAGCTTGACTCTGCACTAGATGTAGTACTTAATTTAATATTGTTTTATTTGGAAAACATACAGAGAAAAAATAACTGACAAACAATAACTGTTTAAGAAACTAATCTATCTATCTATATTAATAAAAATGAATTGATGTTCGTTAGTCTGATTAAAACTCGAGAACGGCTGGGCCGATTGAGCTGATTTTGGTGTTAAAATGTTTGTCGTAGTCCAGGGTAGGTCTAAACGATGAGCAAATAAGGAAAGATTTGCTTATTTATTGCCTTTAAGGCGGAACAGAGTTCGCCGGGTCAGCTAGTACACCATAATATGACCGTGATATCTCTGGATTACGCTTCCGAAGTGAACCAAATCGCTAAGCTTTAAAATAATGCAATAATGATCATATTTAATATCTAAAGAGTCCATCCAATAAGGTCCGTCCATAACTTTAAGGACATGAAAATTAGACTCAACATGTCGTGTATTCTTGAATTGCAGCAAAACTACCACGGCTCTCTACTAACCCGCGGGCGCGGTGCGTTAGCCCGACTTGCCGCGCTCGCAACACCACTGGTAGCAGACGACGACGCGCCCAAACCAGGCCGCCTGGCGCCTTCCAGCAAGAGGAACTTCGTCTTCGCCGCCATCACACCCGATGACGAACCTAAAGTATGTTCAGTAACACTTTTGCGCAGTTGTAATAAGTCATACTTTGCAACAGAAACAGCCTGGTGTGCTATCACACTTAATACGAATTATATCGGGCCATACATTATATATCTGCTAATTTGTGGGACGTCCTACATGCGTCGTGTCCATACTACCCGTTTGTGATTGCAATGGCATAGGGTGACAAGTAGTATTGGAATGGAGACACGAAAGCATTTCGAGGAAAACGATGTGTCCTTCTTAACAAGTCCCAATAAGCTAAAGAAAAAATTTGGCCTTTGGTAATATCATGCCTGAATTAGCGGTACAATCACTAAAGATTTATTATACTTATTGAAACGAATTAGATAAATATGAAATTACTGTAATAATAACAACTTTCTATTGTTACAGGTAACCAAAAGGAAAGCTGAAACTAACGTCGGCACTCCAAGACTCGTGAAGAAAATGAAGACTGAAGAGAAACAAAAACACAATAAGAGTAGCTTGTTAGATCATTTAAAATTATTATAACTTTTATTTTCATAGACGTCCTGTACATAATTATATTATAAGCTGTTGATATAAACATAAAACTTTCTTAAATTAAGTAATAAATATTTTATTTAAAAAAAAATGCATTTTATTACATGCCGACCGAAAAATTCAAATAAGTTCTAATGAGACATCTTTCAAATTATCTGATACCTACTTCATTCATACTAAATAATTTACAAAAATCAGTTATAATTATGATGTTCTTGTATTTTTAAGTTTTACGCGTAACAGTGCTCCACTACAGCCTGCAGATAATTTTGGATACTATAAATATTTATATTTTAGGTGCAGTCCTGTTGTCCCCCCTGCTTGGCCCCCCTAGGGGAGCCAACAGGATTTCGAAATCCTGTTGTCCCCCCTGGCTAGGGGAGACAACAGGACTAGATTTTTAATCAATGATTTGAGGACTGTTGTCCCCCCTGGCAAAAATTATTTAAAAGCCATAAATTTTTATAGCATTATTTATGAAAAACTGAAGTATTTGACTGAATGCCAAATTGCCAAACTGAATACTTAAACGTTTGTCTCAGTTTGTCAAGGTAATAGCTAATTACAATTTTGATAGGTATTGGTGCCGGCCGGTATTAACTAACACTTACAAACTTGAAATTTGGCAGGTAGGTTTCCTTATAGGGTGTAGGATATCCACTAAGAACAGAATTTATTTATTAAAGGATTGAAAATAATATGACGAAATCGCGGGCGGCTGCTAGTTGAATCACTGTCACTGAGCAAGTAATTTGTTGAATATTATTTAACGAGCTGTGCCCGCGACTTCGTATGCATGAAAACCCGTTTTCGCAAAATTTTTCATTTTTGCTCTGCACCTATTACTCGTAGCGTGATAGTATATAGCCTATAGCCTTCCTCAATAAATGGGCTATCTAACACTGAAAGAATTTTTCAAATCGTACCGATAGTTCCTGAGATTAGCGTGTTCAAGTAAACAAACAAACTCTTCGGCTTTATAATATTAAGTATAGATTTAAAATTATTCAGTTTTAGCATCCTACCTACTAATGTTGTAAGTAAATGCGGAACTTTGTGAGTATGGATGTTTGATACTCTTTCACGTAAAAACTACTAAACGGATTTTTACTTACACTTGATAAACTTTACAGTAGGTACCTAGATAATATTTTTTATACATGAGAATAGCATAATAGAGGTAAGTACTTAGTTTTTGCCTACGGCTTTGTCCGCTATATGTTTATATTTATTTATAAAAAAAGATAAAGTTACTTTCGCATTTATAATATTATTTAGTAGTGATAATTCATAACGATTCTGTCAAAAGCAAGTTAAGCAGATTTTGAAATAGTCTGAAATAGTAACGGTACCAAGAACTTATATTTTTTTCGTTATCCAAATGTTAATTATTATTTGACATACGTTTAGGTATTCAGTTTGGCAATTTGGCATTCATTCAGGTACTCCAGTCCTTCTTAAATGTTATAAAATTTTATGGCTTTTAAATCATTTTTGACAACAGTCCTCAAATCATTGATTAAAAATCTAGTCCTGTTGTCTCCCCTAGCCAGGGGGGACAACAGGATTTCGAAATCCTGTTGGCTCCCCTAGGGGGGCCAAGCAGGGGGGACAACAGGACTGCACCATATTTTAGGTAAAAAAGCGATCTGAATGCAGGCCTAGGTAGTTAGGTTAGGTTAGGTTAGTTTATCGAATAAGAATAAGATTTATTCGAACTTAATACAAAATGACGCTATAATATTGACAAAAAAATAATAAAATAATGACTTTAGAGAAGTTAATCCAATAAAATATTTTAGCAAGACTATACATAAGACTAGGCGCAGACCACCGATTTTTAGTTAGCCGATAGTTGTGGTGCCCTATTTGCCCGATTAAACTATCGGGCCGACGAAAAATCGATGGTCTGCGCCTAGGCTTAGACCAACTTGTAGATGGATTTGTACTACGAGTACATTCATTACAATGGTTGTATAATTTTCCTGAACTCAAAGGACTCGCTAAAGAGATGGATGAAGACAATTAGCAAATTAAATGATTGTAGATTATTATTAGCCCTAAAGATTACATTAAACCTAGTACATAATTAAAAGTGGATTTAATTTTGTCTACATAAAAATAACAAGTTTTGTAAAATTCTAATCGCAAATCGTAAGTTTTTAAATTTTTACGCGCGTTTTTTACTCCAGGCTACCAATATGCAGAAAATATTAAAATAATTGCCACTTTCTGAATTTCTCATAACAATGGGGTAATTATATTACTAAATCAATTTTGATAAAGCTATATTCCTCAATTTTATTTAGTTATAAGCGAAAAATAAACTTTCCAAGTAATGCTATAACGAATTTAATATTTAATTTACTTTTTTTCACGGGAAACAGCGAAATCATATTTTTTCTAATTACAATGGGGGTAATTCTTGGTATGTACTGGTAACTTTATTTTGTTTTGTTATATTGACAGCACTGTTCGAAATGTATATCCTTCCGCTTTTTCTTCTCGTTTACTCCTTCGTCTATTCAATCCATCCTATTCACACTTTCATGAAAACAGCTTAAAGTTTCGCATCTGTCTCATTCATCTCAGTCAGTTCGGTCGGTGTATTCGCTCTCGTGTGTCGCTCAATCGATGCTTTTTCTGTGGTGTGGGGTGGTAGTGTAGCGTGAAAGATTTTCTAGTCAAGTAAAATTAAAAATCCTAATAAAAGTACTTTTAATTAAGTAGTACGACCGTGACGAAATGGCGAATGAGATTAAAGACATCGGGGAAATCGTCAAAAATTGCAAAATTCTTTTGTTGGACATCGAAGGAACAACAACATCGATCAGCTTTGTTAAGGTAGGTCTGAAGATTGACCGGCCGGTGTTTTGTTTCCTTGTGTATTGATGAGGAATTGGTTCCAATTGATTATTTTATGATTGTATATTTCGTCCCCGACATCCATCCTAAACTTTGGGTGGTTCGTGCAAAATGGTCGCGAATTCAGATTCGCAATATGGAGGACGAAATCAAAATGGTACCCCTTTTCATGCGGCTTTTGTCTGAATTTTAGCACACGTGTTAACTTAATCGCGTTTTATCTCGTTTCCCGATCCCTTTCAATTCGGTTTACACAAATGAAAGGACCAAAAAGTCAAGTTAATCAGTAAAACTAGTGGGTTTAATAAATTTTCTTGTAAAGGTAGATAACGTACAAATAAATTCACAGTGAAGTATTTTCGTGATTGTATCAGAAAATGCTTTCTCACGTTTGTACCAAGTTACTCTTTTGATCGGTATTAACACGTTAGACGCCTCTACCGGCGTGAACAGCTGTTCAGAGCAGCTGGCTTGTAAAAAAATGTGGAACAGTTAACTGTCCTCTCTACAGAGACGTCAAGTTTCCACAGGCCGTCCTTGTCACACTCGCATCATGTGCTACACCCGCGATAAGGATGGATATGATTGACGTTTCGTGCTGTCTGGAATAATAAAAATTATTATCAGAAGCATTGACCGCGTGCGACTTACGATTTCACTATCAATGCTCTTTTGTACTTGTTCATTCATGATTATTAAGTTTATTAATTACTTTGTCTTGGTATTGTTCTGTTCATAGTTCAAGGTTTTTGAGGTTAATTATAAAGCATTTCAGCTACTTCAGCTTTTTATTATGGATCATGTACCTACATTTTTGGGAATGATTTAGTTAGGCAATAGAATATCTGGGGTAAATCTTTCAACTTTAAATTATTGTCTAACAACCTATTGAAACCTACATTACAGTACACATCAACTGGTTACACATCTAACCTATTGGTAACTTTAGGTCAGTTCCTAAACTTACCTACTTCATAAAAAGGTATAAATCAGGTAAGTAGCTACCTACCTGATTTATAATAAGATTTGGAACAGATGTATTTTTTATTTTTTTAATCCATAAAATCTTTAATGCTGTCAGTTTGTTAAAACTAGAATTTATTCAGATTAGATTTTTATATTTACTGTGATTCCACTGAACAACTAGGTAGTACATAATTATGTAAAATGTTAAACTTGTTGAGGAATAATCTAATATGTAATTAAAATAACAAAAAAAAATTACACATGCACATCATCAGTTAAAAAAATCATATTTTAAGTTGTGATCACTTTACTGTTCTTAGTAGGATGTTGTAGGTATCTTCTCAAAAGAAAGAAGTAGATGGGTCATTCTAAGTTAAGAGGTACTTTCGATGGCAAGGGCAAAAAAGTACCTTTTTTTTATTCTAATTTCCTAATTAACCTATTTATTACTTAAAACTAAATGTCTTCTACATGCTCACTTAAATTTATAACAGAAATGTACACAGTTTAGTCATAACAAGTTCTAATACAAGAAAAACGTCTCTCCCCTGGGCTGTCCCAAACCCGATTTTATTTGTAAACCAGTTATTATGAATGCATTTAAATTAAATAATTACTTCATCATCGTTAATTTTATACAGAACAATAACTTAGGAACACTGTCTTATAAGTCAAATTACATAAATTCAAATTTTTCATAAATAATATCAACGCCGAAATTTGTCCTCCGTATTTCTTGTCTCGTCCCCTGGCTTTTTGTTTCCGTTTAAAAGTCAGTATTGTTTTACTATTTTGTGGAAGTTATGTCCTTTAGTGCATAGGATGTAACGTGAAGCTATCGGCAAGCAGCGATTAAGCCGACTGCGAAGTCATTTTAACCGCCATTTCAGTCACGCCGTTCGCTGGGTGTAGAAGTGTTGAGTGAATGCAGTCTTTCCTCTGGTAAGTTTTATTCAGCAATTATTTGTTAAAATACTAATGTAAACTTCAATATTTACTATGAATAGTGCATACATTGTTACGTTTGGTTGTGAATTGCGTACGAGAAACACTTTTACGGCTATTTTAGATATTGATCGAAAATGTATCTCCCCTGGCGTATTTCCTCTGGCTTTTTTGATGGCAGGGGAGATTCTTAATGTCCAGGGGAGATACATTTGTATGCGTTTTCATGAATACTTCTATATTTTTCTCTGAACCTTTACTTGGTATTATGTATATCTTAGGTTTACAATTTAATATGACTTTTTTACAGAAAAAATGGCATCTAGAAAGCTAAAGCCCTTGAGAAAACCTGCCCGAATATAAAAATTTTCACCGTAGATACACCGTAGACATACTATCGGAAAAAGCAGCAACATTAGGTTCTACTGAAGGTATAAAGACTTTTTCAGGCACAGTAAAGGTTCACCAAGTTACCGGTTGCGTATTTCTACCTAATTGCCTGACATTATAAAAAGTTTGAGATGCTTCTGTGACTCCAGAGTTGTCATTATTTTGAATTGGGTACCTACTTTGGATTATCCACAAATACATGTTAAAGTCACTGTTTCTGTGAAGGAAACTACGCAACATCTTTTCGTCCAAAATACCTCAGTGTCTATAGACGAAAGTCTTCAATCAAGCAACCTGAAGTGGCAAAGGGCAGTGCACATAGTACGCGGAACTAACGGCCGATGGGGCAGCAAGGTTCTGGAGTGGGACCTTCGTACCGAAAAGCACAGTGTAGGACGTCCACCCACAAGGTGGAGCGACGACCTTATAAAGGTAGCAGGAAAGGGCTGGATGCAGGCCGCCACCACCGGCCATTGTTGAATTCATTAGGGGAAGTCTATTTTCAGCAGTGGACGTCCTATGGCTGAAATGATGATGATGAATTGATGATGATGTTTCTTTAATTTCCTAGGATCAGGTTTTAAAAAAACTACCCTACCCTAACTTAAAATTGAGAGGGCAGCATATTTTATATGCTTTAATGAATCTATTGATGTCTTTGAACGCAGGTTTTACATAAAGATTTTTTTAGTTACCTCTCAATTCAAATGGTTGTTTAAGTACAAGAAAAGTTTAATACTGTTTTAGAGAAGTTTTTGTTTATTTTTATTTCGTTATAGACTATTGATAGTTGTTTTGATGGAAAGTAAAAGTAAGAACATTTTTATGTTTTGTATCTAGGCTTAAAATACATTTTTGTTAACAAAATTTCCATAATAATGAAAAGTCTGATTATAAATAATTCATAATTAAAATTAAAATAAATAAATAAAGTTGATTCCTAAAAATAACACTGTTTTAGTATGTCTATGTCTCTTCCCTGTCCATAAAGAATCCTCCCCTGTGCACCTTGTCTCTACCCTGGACTGAGTATTTACCCTGGTCGCTTATAAAACGAGAAAAAACCAACAAATTGACTGGCCACTTTGTAAACATTTTCAACTTAAAGGTTTCCATAAAACAGATGTATACTTAAGTAAAAATATTTAAAAAAATGCCGTGCCGTCGCTCCATACAACACATTACCTCTTAACTTAGAATGACCCAGATAGTATAAAATTGAGTAAGCAGGAACCTAGTATTCTTTCTTAGCTTAATATTTTTTGTAATTATTTCATTTTAGTTTTCCTTTTCTCTTATTTTATTCTAATAATATTTTTGAATGTGGTCCACAAGAATGGTTACATCTTTTTATCTTATCTACTTTAACTTACAAGGTTTTCTTTGTTGTACTATTTCCAACAATTTTTAACTTTATTATTGGCCTCATCATAAAAACCACTCAATTTATTGAAATTAAGAATCAACCTTGGGATCTCAAATTATCCACAACCCCATTTATCTACCTACCTACTTAATTATTGGCAACTCAAAAGACTACACTTTATCTCCAAGGATCAACTGGTTTTGAGTAGGCAGTAGAATAGTGTGGAATTTAAGTGGATTTTTTCAGGTTAAACCTTGCATATTTTGTATATTTTTGATATTTTCTATTAAAATTAATTGCCCACATGCAACCCTCCATAGCAAGTGGACAGATTCGCAACTGGACAGATTCTCAAATGGACAGATTCTCAGGTGGACAGATTAGCAACTGGACAGGACATGTACAGTCCATAACATAACGACAACCTCCTGTACAGTCGTTTATGTAATACTAGCTGTGCCCGCGACTTCGTCCGCGTGGAATAATGACTTTGGGTAGGTAGGCACTTTTAATAATTTAGTCTAATTATTTCACAAATAAGACACACGTGCGTAAATACTTAAATAAGCTTTGTATTGAAAGAAAACGAAAACATATTATTTAATAACATAAGAACTTAAAATGTTTGTCACGAAAAACAATATTCAGTTAAATTAACAATAAATCGTGTAAGCAAATTTAATTTTAATTTAATAAATTTGTAGTGGTACGAACGCGTGCAGCCCGCGTGCGCGATGGCGATGGCGCGTTGGTTTGGTCGAACCTTTAGAATAAGAACTATCAGGCATATGAATTTCCTCACCTACACCGTGCTGCGCCACGCAATATTTTTCCCATGTTAGGTGTAAAAACATCTTCCCTACAAATTACAGGTTAGTAAATTAACAACCTAACATGACCTGCGGGTCTAGACAAAGTGCAAATTATAATCGCAAACCAGTCGAAAAGTGGTCGAAATGCCCCTTTTTTGTATGGAGTTTGTAATATTCTTAGAAACTTTAAATGTCATTTTTATTTCTATCTAATCAAAAGCCTAAAAGTTTAATGATTCTTATTCCTTCATTTAACCTTTCATCCCCCTTTTAATCCCTTACAACCTCTATTTCGCATTAAAAATAGCTTATGTCCTTTCTCAGACTCTGGACTGTCTGTGTACCAAATTTCATCTAAATCGGTTCTTACCACCTTTCATCACTCCTTTCAACCCCTTAAAACCCTTTTTTAGAAATAAAATAAAAATGTATCTATCCGGATGTTATCGTTAAGGGATGTTATTTTCATTTTCAACGTGCCGTGTGGAAAAAATCAAAAGAATTAAAGTTTTCTTCTACCACAAATGGTCGGAAATTGACACAATAATTGTGTACTCAACTAGCACTTTTGCCCAGGACATTAATACTTGAGGGCTTTTTGTCAATAAATGAAATCGTTACAGATGATGACCAATCTAAAGCTTTTTTCAATTATTTCACAAATTATTGGATGAGGCAAATTACGACTGAGCAGTTGTCTTGCTACGGAGAAAATTTTCGGACAACTAACGCTGTAGAAGGCTGGCACCGTCGAATGAATGCCAAAATACCAAAAAAACCATCCCTTTTTTTGTTTCTACAGTTATTAACAAAAGAATCGAAAATCGTTGATACTAAAATAAGTGGAAGTTCTTATCACTGTGAAGAAACAAAACGTCGGTCAAAGCAAATTCTGATTAATAAGCAGATACAAAATATATTATCGGATTGCGTTAATGACAAAATTTCAGTTATGGCGTGCTTAGAGCGCCTAAGATCGTTATCTCGGAAATAAATTTGTCTCGGTATTCAGAAGTTATTTTTTTTTTACTTAAATTCGTTTAAGTTTTATTTTCTTTAAATAAATTATTTCAATGTATTAACTATATTTCATTGTTCACGACTGTACTCTGTCCAGTTGCTAATCCGTCCACCTGCGAATCTGTCCAGTTGAGAATCTGTCCAGTTGCGAATCTGTCCACTTGCTATGGAGGGGCAAGCAACTACAAAATGCATAAAATTTAGTCTGCTACCACAAATGGGATCTTGCTAGGTACAGTCAGCGTCAAATAATTCGTGACACCTAAGTAGCCAAAAAGTTCGCAACACGTCTCTGTTTCAATCCGAATAAGGTTGTGTTGTCAACTTTTTGCCTACTTTGGGTGTCATGAACTATTTGACGCTGACTGTACAAGTATACAGGGTGGAAACGATAAGTGATCTCACTCGATTATTTCTAAACTATGCAAGATATCGAAAAACTGGTTACTGATCCTGAAAGTGCTTTACGAGCTCTATTCAACGGTACCAATAATAGGTTACAAAATATACTGGATCTATCCCTAAAATCAATGTTTCCAGCTTCCATACATTTAGTAAAACCACTTAATATTAAAAACTATACAAGCTATCCAAAAACTGGTTACTGATCCTGAAAGTGCTTCATGAGCTCTATCCAACGGTAACAACAATAAGTTACAAAATAAACTGGATCTATCCGAAAATTCAATGTTTCCAACTTCCATACATTCAGTACTGCCACAGTCATGGCACTCATGTCTTGATAATATTATAGCAAGTAATACCTAGAACCAATGTTTACCATGAATAATTTTAAATAAGAATGCAATTTACGAGTTCGTTTTAAGTGTTTGTTATTTAATTAAAAAAATTACACTTTTCATATTGTGTGGCTGGCATACATTTAGTATGGAGGCTGAAAACATTGAATTTTCGGATAGATCCAATTAATTCTGTAACCTATTACTGATACCGTTAGAAAGAGCTCGTGAAGCTCTTTCAGGATCAGTTACCAGTTTTTCGATATCTTGTGTAGTTTAGAAATAATCGAGTGAGATCACTTATCGTTTCCACCCTGTATACAATCGAGCTTTAGTTGGCGTTTCCTCTTACAGTCACGCAGTTGTACCTTCAGGTAGCAGGTGACAGGTCCTACCTTCGACAATCCGGCTTAAATTAACAAAAGAAGATTTGCCGACAAATTCACCCTTCGTTTTTTTTTCAAGTGATGTTCCTTACAACACGAATTTCTTTCCATATGAGAACAGGATATTAACATAAAGGCGGCTATTTCTAAAAGCAATCTTCCTAGCAAGCGGCTTTATCGCTTCTCTGTCTAGAGACTAATTTGCTTGTATCATTCGACCTTTTACGCAAGATATTCTATCTGCGAAACGATCTCGTTAGCAAAAAAAACTATCCTCATCCGGCATTCTGGTTCTCAGAAAATTGTGGCAGGTACGGTACAGGTAGTGTTGTCCCACCAATCACATTGTTTCCGCTCGATCCACCTTACAACGACCGCAGAACGAGGCGAATATGCCTTTAACTGGAGCATCACATGTTTGGAGGCTACTATGTGCCTATATTGGTCCTGTACCCTTACCGGCTAGGTAGGCTCGCTATCCGGTTTGGACACAGCTCCGTCGGCAAGTCGCAAGTTCGTTCACCCGTCGCCAGCCGCATCGTAGACGATGCAGTTTCACCAGGATTTCACGTTATGCTAAATTACCTTAAAACCTTCCAACCGAAGAAATAGGTAGGTTAAAACAGAAAAGCACTTAACGGCTAAGGAATTCGCTTTACGAAAATCGCCGGGTTAACGACCTAGATTCGCATTCGTTAAAGGATGTTAGGTTACGCCAAAATGCAGAATGGTAATAGGGTAAAGAGGCTTTGTGGGGATTAGACTCGGACTTATTAGGCAAACATGAGATTTAAATAAAGATTGCTTATCATGCAGTGAAACTAAAGCGACAAGTAGGTACCTACAAAATGATAGTTTCCCATCATTAAAAATTGCACTCATATCCTATTTCACTTTTGAGTTTTCGCCCGTGCGGTGGCGGCTCCTCTCACATGTAATCATTTCGGTTTAGGTAATAGCTGAAGCTAACTAAATATTAACTAGGTACATAATTTGTTACATTAACCATGATACATCGTGTTTTAAAACTAGGGTAGGTACAATTTTCGGAAATGAGTCGGATAACTCAAGAATGAAGACGTACTAACATATTTTCTTAGGTTGTAGGTATTTGTTGTTTGTTCTTCATTTGTTCTTTTATCGTTTGTGTAACATATTTTTGTTGTGTCTGTGCAAAATAAAAACATACCTACATTTTATCTTAATGACTGTTTACAATTAAAATTTACGTCTCTTTTAATTGTTTGTCGTGGTCTTTATCATCGCCACAATTCATAGGATTAAAGTGTCACCGAAAACAGGGCAGGCAGAATACCTATAATGGTTCTAATATTCTTGTAAGAAATATTCTTCCTCTTTATCATTAAGGATTTCCGAGAACAACGACGTTTGTCAGATAAAGATGGGCCTCCAAGTTTGTTAATGTAGAAATACATTATCATCTAGCTTCTCCCATGTTATCTGGAGGACATACGAAATTGTGTTAGGCACAGTGATTTTATAGGTTTATGTTAATTTTAAGCTAAATCCGGATAGGCATTCCACCTAGAAAGTCGTGATTTCACCGAGAATGGGGCTAAAGTGAATACCAGTTACGGATCGATAGGACGGCTAGCTCCCTGACATAGTAACAAACAAGTACGATACGAAATCATTTAAATACTTCAGCCAAATAATGATGAAGTATCCATAGTTTCTGCTAAGTTTTTCATGTTAGATACGTATTCAGTTATGCCTGCAGCATAGGCATCGCAGTCGCATTCTTAATCAAGTCTTCGGATTTTAGAGAGCAAAACGTCATATATACGAATTCTCAGCAGAATAATATCAAAACTCCGTATGAAATCCAGGGATCACGTCCCCAAAAAGATCCTATTTTTATTATTGACATTGGTGTACATGGTTGTTAAATTTTAGTATATTCTTGTTCGCAGGACAAGCTATTCCCGTACGCAGAGGAGAATGTGAAGCAGTTTTTAGACAACCAATGGGAGGCTGAAAACGTGAAGGAGGCCGTCGTCGCCCTGAGGAAGCTCGCTCTTGAGGACCAGGAGAAGAGCGTGGAAGGAGTCGTCGCTATTCCTGGAGAGGTAATATAACAATTTTTTCTCATTTCCACCCATATTCAGATCCATTCTTGATGTTATGGAAAAACACCTGATAGGTACTCGACCATGGGTCAAGAAAAACAACATCCACTCTTTTTTTTTTATTCACTATCATAATGTACGTAAATTGCTAATTTTTCACCTAAGCTGTTGTACTTAGTGTGGAATGTTAAGTTTTTTGGTGTCGGACTAAGCTATTGTAGGCGTCTGACATGGTTCGATTGAGCCCACCGAAGCACGAAATCATCCCACTTAATCAGGTTCAATCCAGCTTAGGATATCCCAACCAAACTGATGATAACTAACATTAAATGATAAAAGCTAGGAATGTTAACTATCATAAACGGTTTCTTTAAAACATAATCTACCTGCAAATTAAACCAGAAGGGACCAAATCGAATGTTCATCACCAGAACAACACCTCTTTGTTGTCATTGAACAACTGACCTAACAATCTGAAGGTTGTGAAGCATGAATGTCTTTGTGACTTAAGTGCGTCAGAACGACGCTCAAAACTCTATTCAATTGCCTATAAGATTAAGGCTTTTGATAGGTGGAATATTAATAATCACAGAACAAAATCTATAGGTCTGGATTTGAGCAGATCTATGGCTCAAAATTACTCCAGTTTTGAGGGTTATTTCTTATTTTGTAAAAAGCATCTTTAAACTCGTTCATCTGGTGGATGCCTTCCTTGCGTTAAAATGAAGTGCACGAACGACAGGCAGCGTGTCCGTTCCGGTGCATTGTCCTTTACGCTGACGCTACCACGGCGTGACGTTGAGGCGCCGAAAACCAAGTGCACGCTTTGTTGCCCTGCAGTAATAACATCTACCTGCTGGGCAATGGTCTCTCTGGAACGTAAAGTTCTTGAAAGAAGATTGAACTTAATTGGTATTTTCTAATAACCTCGGAAGGCTTACAGGGCATAAGAAAAGAATTGTCCTATTCGTGAATAGGTGTGGCTTTGAATACCGATACTGCAATGGCTAAATCAGCTGGCCCTACTTTGAGAGACTTTGGTCTAAAAGTCCCCCTAATGCTTCCTAAGTGGTGAAAATGACTGATCTTAATCCCTAAAAAGCTCAAAACAAATTTTAATATTTTTTATAATCATTCTATTAGGCACTTTTCTGAAGCCACGCACATCAGACATGGTATCTTATTCAATCATAACTTGGAAGCCCCAGCATCACTAACGTCGTTTTCCTTGTTTATCCTTCACAAGATCTAACAACAATTAAGATGAGGTTACTCCGCCATTTGAAAGTTAAATCAGGCTTATATTTCGCTCGTTTACGTGGGCGTTTCTATCAGGTAAATTGGAAAGGGGAAAAAAGACTTTTCCTATCTAACCTTTAGACACGTGTAGTCTCGTATTACTTGTTATTATCACATAAATAAGAGTTCTAAAAGGTTTCTTTTAATAAAATGAAACATATTATTTTACAGGTTACAGTTTTCTTCTTTTTTACTCAAATTCTGTTTATGATACTTACTTGCTTTTGCCCGCGGCTTCACCCGCGTGAAATTTCGTTTGTCACAAATCCTCATAAATTATAGCCTATAAACAATAATACTGTAAAGTTTCAACAAAATCCGTTCAGTAGTTTTTGCGTGAAAGAGTAACAGACATCCAGACATCCACACAAACTTTCCTATGTATAATATTAGTAGGATATTTATTAAACTTTTTTAGTTTCAACTAAAGTCTAGCGCGTAACCGAGTCAGTGCCCGAGGTATGGGAGCGGCACCGGAGGGGTGACATTAATAATGTTAATGTAATGTAATGTTATGACGTGACAGAGCAAGCAAGTCTGAATTTTCGCAGGCTAGTTCAGTGATTCGTCCCACAACAGGTTCGTCACAAACACTGAATTCATAAAAATAATATATATTTTTCGTTCTGGATTCGTCCCATTTAATTTATTCTTTAACCTCGTAAGACCGAAGAGTAAATTTTGTCGACTTCAAAGTATCGCCGAATGTGCTTTCAGAAGAACGAATAATTTGTAGTAGTAAACGCCGAGCACTTCGAGTAAAAAAAAAATTATGTTAGAGATTTTCTTTTGCATTCATATTTTCAGGGGCCCTATATAATTGTGCATAGAGCTTATTTTAGGTGAAAAATAATAAAAAAATGTTTTCTCTTAAAAGAACATTCGGTATTACAGACTATAAAAAGGAAAAGTAAATAAATTGTATTTTATACTTTAAAGTAAAACATAAATGTAACCTTCTTAATAAATTGATACTACATAAAGATACAATAATGATATAATTAAATGTAACTGAAAAGGAACAACGGTTTTAATTTTATTTAATGTTTCATAATTAGTACTTTTAAAAGTACTATCGGTTTTATAACATACAATAATGATAGTTTAGAATGTACAAGAAGTAAAGTAAATATTCATGTTAATTATAATATTTACTAAAATAAAAATCAGAACATTCTCATGGTAAATTTTCTCAATCATATCATAATTTTAAAAGTCCAATACTCAATCCCATCTCAATAGAAAAAATATACAAAAATAAAACTTTCACCATCAAGACCGAATGTTCCTTGCAAAGAACTATTATTTTCAAACGAAAAAAAAACTTACAAAACTACTTCAAATTGAGAAAAATATATTTTTTGCTTGTTTAGCTGTATTTTAACTTAAATTATACTGGTCAGTTTTGCAATTAAACTACGTTTACGCGAAGAAAAAAAATTAATGGCACATCATGTCTTCTCGGACGAACCACCTTGTCAAAGAAAAATGATAATTTGACAGTGACATTTTGTTTTTTTTTATAAATAAGTTCGGATACCTGATTTTGAATACTTTTAGCCATAGACTATCACTCTTTTTTTTTCGATAGGCGCGAATTTTTGAACTTAAATTTATCGCTAAAGTTTTAGTTCCTCTGAAGGCACATCCGGCGATACTTCGAAATCACCTCCGAAAATGTCTCGGCGTTACTGACTACAAAGTTTCAGTTCCTTCTGAGGCACATCCGGGCTTACGAGGTTAACATAATGAGATTTAGTACCGTCAGAAAGTCAATGAAATAAAAGAAAACATGAATGTTAACGATGTCTGTATTTAAAAGGAAATCAACATAGAAAATCTTAACTAATTGTATTAATAAGAAATCACAGCTTTAAGAATCACTGGATCAAACATGTATTATCAATGATTTTAAAATTTGATTTGTTAAAAAATTTTGCTGATCTGTGAGTATATTCACGTGTTGATTTTCTTTTAAATACAGATATTGTTAACAAATTCATGTTTTCTTTTATTTCGTTGACTTTCTGACGGTACTTAATCTCATTTGTTAAAGAATAAATTAATTGGGACGAATCCAGAACGAAACATACATTTTTTTTTAAATTCACTGGTTCGTCCCAGTGGGACGAAAGTGTTGTGGGACGAATCAATGAACTAGCCTTTTCGCAGACGTTTGACTTCACAAAAACACCCTCCCGTGCCGCTCCCATACTTCAGGTACTGACTGAATTAAGCGCAACCTATAGTTGTACAATGGTCATAAAAAACTTGGTAAAGTTTGCTCTCTGAATTCTCTGATTCTTATTTACATGACGTCATTGATGATTTATATTTCGATTTCGTTCCAGGACGCATCGAAGGAAGATCAGATCGAAGGTCTGGTGAACAATGTGAAGTGGCAGATGTCAGCGGACCGCAAGGTCGGGCCGCTCAAGCAACTCCAAGGTCTGATCTGGAAGCAGGGCTATGACAGTGGCGACATCAAGGGACAGTGAGTATTTTGATGTTTAATGACTCACAATGGAATTATGTTGACAAAAGTTTCTGCACCGTCTAGCCTAGGCGCAGACCACCGATTCTAATTTGTATGAAATCGAAATCGGTGTAATGTGCGCACTTCTATACATGCCCATACTGATAAACTGTCCAATTAAACTATCGGCCAACTAAAAGTCGGTGGTCTGCACCAAGGTTTACAGCTTTATCGACAGATATTATGACTCAAAACATAATTAGATTATGTAATGGCATAAGTTTTTCCACTGTCTCAGAGCTTTATTTCCAGACATAATTTATAAATAAAATTGTTTACTTTGGTGTGGAGTGCAATGAGGTGACGTGTTTGGTGCCTCAACTCTAAACCGATTCGAGATAAATTGTTTTATTTTTAAATTAGTTGTTTATACAAACAGGCTATAATCAGGTTGGGTGTTAATCAGGACATCCATTTTTTTAAATAAGCATGATTGTGTTCATACATTATTATTAGCACTACATATCAGACCAAAAATCAAAATTCATATAACATTTTTGTCCCACTTAATAATAACATCATTGAAATCAAGTGATCACGATATTTGGTAGCTAACTATTACTTAACTGGTTAGTCTGGCTCGTTGTTCCACCCGTGGGAGGAACGGGAATACGCAAAATGCCCATTTGTCACAATATCAAGGTGGGACAATCAGGAATACTATTTCAAGGCAACATTCATACTAATCTGGTGGATATATGCTTCGATCAACAATATCAACTAGATATCGGGTCAGCGTTAAAATTACGTCTCGGGAAATAAGAGCGCACTTCAGATGTGAGTCCTTATTTATTAACGCTAACTCACAGTTAGCGGAGTGGGTGTACGTGGGAATTTGAAAGACTACAAATTATTAAATTAAAGTGATGCTAGACGAAAAAGTGAATTACAATAAAAGAACTTACTTTTCAAGTGTGCTCTTATTTCTCGAGACGCATTTTTTGCGCTGACCCGGTATCTACTTGGTTTTGTTGATCGAAGAATATATGGTAATCATTCGTACTTTAGGACATAGTAACTAAAAATAAACTTTATTCCATTCCAGTGTTTACGATGACGTCATGCCGGCATTGGAGCAGTGGCGTTCAGTAGACGAGCGCAAAGTATACATCTACTCGTCTGGCTCGGTCGACGCACAGAAACTCCTGTTCGGCCAGTCGCTGGCCGGCGATCTGCTTCGCTTCATCGACGGTCACTTTGACACCGCGGTCGGCGCCAAACAGGAGGCGGCCAGCTACGCAAAGATAGTCGAGAAGATTGGCTGCAAGGCTGATGAGATACTGTTCCTGACTGACATTGTCAAAGGTGAGGTCAAGCAATTTAAAACCGTCTTACAAACTGGCAACAGGGGTAACGTAAATTGTTGCCTGTTTCTTCGGGTAATCTTTTTTTTATTTTTTGATTTGTCTTATTTCACCTATTATTAGGTACTTTTAGTTTTTATATACTTAAAATCAAAGAATCAGTTTTATTTATTACTTAGTAGCCTAACACCTTGATCAAACTTGATGCATAATATCGGTAATCGACAAAAGCGCACTCTAGATTGGGCACTATCAACAATATGCTAAATATTGCTAATCATTTGTCATTAGTATATCCAAATATGTAGTTATATTATTATGACAATGTTTATTTTATTATTGAAAACCTATAAAAATGGCCCTTGGCAACCTGAGTTTGTCAAGAGTGCGCGAATTTACACTCTGCTCTTTTCTCAAAACCCACAATTCGAGGTGATTTAACGAGATTGAGTGGAAGTAATTTCTAATAATTCTTGCAGACTAAAGCCCTTCATTATTTTAATTCTTATTGGTAAATTAAAAATCTGTACATATTAGGTAAGGGCGAGAATATTACGTCCCTATTACTACCTAGTTTTTGTCTGCAATTATAATCACATGGATAATCTACCATAAAAATGGTAACATCACAATGTTGTACATTATTTATACAGACAGTTTAGCTACAGCTACCTTCTGTATCAGAAATCACTAGTAGTCGCAAAATATAAATCAAAGTCGAATCTTCGCTACTAATGACGTGAATAAAAATTGTCTTTAGCTCAAAATATTCAGGCAGTTTCTTATTTACATCATGTCACACCAGTTTTTACTCAGCTAAGAACTAGTCCACCAAAGCTTGTTCATCTCACGAGACCATCCCTCGCAGAGGCCGAAGCGGCGCGCGCATCTGGCCTGCAGACGGCGCTTGTCAGCCGTGAGGGCAACGCGCCTCTTCCAGCAGCAGCCTCTGAGGCGTTCGCAGTCATTCACAGCCTGGAGCAGCTAGCAGCCTCCAAGAAACGCAAGCCCGACTCTCAGGTGCCGCCACCGTGATCCCACACCCAACGCCCACGCTTGTGCATGCACCCGTAGTTTGTTAGCTTTGTAGTCCAGGTGAGTTAGCGGTTGTGTGCTTCGGCTTTGCGGTAGACGGTTAAGTGCAATCATTCAACTCGATAGGTACTGAAAAACTTACAGTTCAGGCTGTTTTTAGACATAATTTATCAACGTAATGTGACTTGTATTTGCCTAAACATGAACAACTTTTTCTATGCATGATTTGGAAACAAGATAATCATTGCAATTTGAATATACCTGAGGTAAAGGTGTTCGTATTTACGAGTACAGCTTTGATCAGAAGAGTCCATTTATTTGAAAGGTGTACTTTCTTTCTAGGGCACAAGCTTCATGAAAATCAGATGCTCAAACCCTTCTATAACTAACCAAAACCTATTTTAAAAGTTTTGGGTGAAAATTAGGCTAGGCGCACGTTACGTTATGTGATAAAGTAACCTCTATACCTACCTCATTTTGAATCTGTTCTGTAGTTAACAAAACAGCCTTTACTTGGATTTTTCCTTCAGTACTCAAGTCAAAATAGCCTTTTGTTATAATTATTACCCTTTCTTCCATTGTTTTGATTTAGTTTTCTTATTCATTTGTTATGTTATTGCACTTAATTGTATGATTGCAGCTGTAGATGTTTTGTAATGTACCTATTTGTAATTATTATAACTTCTATGTATCCATATATTATTATCTTATGTTTGTTTCTTGTATATGTATGAGCCTGTATACTGTTTCTCTTTTATACCACACTATTTTTAATTTGTTTGCACAATTTACAAACCTTCCATGACTTTTCAGAACTTAATAGAAATAGAATACAAGTAAAACATCTTGCTAGAATTCAAGACGTGGCTGTAAGGAAATTTTACTCATATTTTAAAATGAGTTTATTTGTAATGAGTATGAGTTAAATAACTAGACATACAAAATTACAGGTGTCGGTAACTGGCCCTACGCTCCGTCTTCAATCTTCATCTAACCTTCTTATATTGTAACTAGTAGGTAAGAATGTTTATAATTATGGTTAGTGTATAAATAAATCGTTTATTTATCAACAAGGTTTTTCTTTTTCTTTTCAATTCCGTTTAATATAACATATCGTTGTTGACATGGTACACTGCAATCGGTCGGTATCACGAATGAAAATAGCCCGCCGACGTTATCAGTTTGAACTAAATACTTGTTTGTCGCGGACTCGGTAAGAGCACTCGTTTACTTATTTTCCAATTCTATATTTGTTTTATTTAATGCTTTATTTAATTATTACTTTATGTTTTTACAATTAAAGTATTGGGCTGGGCTATTGTAATTTTAGTAAGGGTTATAGTTATGGGTTTTTGTTAAATTGTTTTGTATTTTAAAATACTGTAGATAGTTTTTTTGGTGATGGTAATTACGGTTTATTTAGGTCAGGGTAAATGCATGAGTAGCTAGACCCAAATATAATCGGAGGTATTTTTTACTATTGAAGTCCTACATAGATCGGATTACAGAAGTATTTGGAAAGTTAAGAACATTTATTGACGTAAAAGCAGTTTAATGTTTTTAATGAGCTCTAAATTAAATTAATAATTTTAATTTAAACAAAGATAGAACTTAATCACATTATACAGAACATTGCATACCTTTTTTTTAATCATATTTAATGAAACCACTCACGAATTTATTGAAAATTATCTTCTTATTTTAAAATTCTATATTTTCAGGATGAGGTGCCAGAACTGCCGGCTAAGGTTCCCAAAACTGATATTGAGGACGACGTTAAGTCTGCGGCAGAAGCAGCACCTGCGGCCGTCGAAGAGACTGTACCTGAGGTGACGGAACCAGAACCAAAGAAAGAAGGCGACCAGCCTGAACAAATGGAGGTGGAACAAGAAGAGACTGCCGCTCCCACCGAACAAGCGAAGGAAGACAAAGTCGAAGATGTTCCAATGGAAGATACCGTCGTCGAAGAAGTTACAGACGCGAAAGAAATCGAAAATGTACCCGTCGCCGATATTGAACCAATTATCTCAGAAGAAAAGACTGAAGAAAAAGAGACTGAAAAAATGGAAGCCCAAGTTATAGAACCCGTGGAAGTAAAGACTAATGGGGCTGCCGAGGTCAAGAATGGTGATGATAGTGCGCCAGTCGCTGAAGAAACGCCACCTTCGACCGTGATTACGGAAATTGAGGAAATTACCGGGAAGCAAGATTTGGAAGAGGTCGGAGAAATAATTGAGGATCTCGAACCAGTGATTGAGGAACCTCCTGCTGTCGAAGATATGGAAGATCTGCAGAATGTCGGAGAAGTCCTAGAAAAAGAGTGCGATGAAATTTTGTCAAAGGTGCAGGACGTTACGAATCTGGACAATATTCCTCTGAAACCGCTACTGAATACGATCGCCGAAGAAACGATGGAGACTGAAAACACTGATTCAAACGACATCGTCGATAGGATATTAGACACAGAATTAGAGCTTGAAATGAAGCAATGCGGCGATATAGACCTGAATACCGTTTCCGAAATTACCGATAAAAAGTCTGAAACAGCAGAGGAGAAAACGGAAAAGGTAGAAGAAAAAACAGATGAAGTTCCTAAACCAGAAGAAAAACCTGCCGAGTCTGCAGCCGAAGAAATGGTTACAGACGGAAACACAGTGAGCAACTCCTCAGAACCCGAAACGAAAACAGAAACAGCAGTGGCCGAAAATAAAATGGATGAAAGCGCAGCGGAGGCGAGTAAAGTGGCGGAGCCCGTAGAAACCGAAGCAAAGCCAGCGCCCGAAGCGACACCGATTACCGAAGCGCCCGTTGCATCTGAAGCGACCGATGTGACACCAACACCCGAAGTTCAACCAGAATCCGAATCGAAACCGACTCCCGAAGCCGACAGTAAAGAGGCAGAAGAGAAACCCGCTCCGGCTGTTGAGGAACCCGCACATAATGAGGAACCAGTTTCAGAGGAGGTCAAAGTCGAAAGCGAAACGAAGGAGCCCCAAATGAACGGCAAAGCGACGAACGGTGAGAACGGTGACGCCGAGGTGAAAGTAAATGGAGACGCGAGCAAGAACGAAGAACTAAACGCCAGGTTGTCCGTTGAGGAGAACGGGAAAGAAGTGGTTAACGGCTCCAATGGCGCTAACGGGGACTCCACCGATGCTGAGAAGGGACAGGGAGATAATAAACCGGAGCCCGACGTGGCCGACATCAAAGTCAAGACTGTCGCCGTCGACGAGCCACGTACCGATCCAATAGAGCAACCTACGGAAGCATAAAACACTTTTGGTAAGTGTAACTCTTTACATTTTTTCTGAGTAAGTATTGAAGAAACTGACAAAAAAATGGAATGAACATGACTTGTGACATTTCTTGTTTTACTGCAACTTTCTTTTAGAAATTCTTTGATTTTCTCAGCGTGGTTTTTTTCCAATGTGCAAGAAGATTTTGATTTGGATTGAAATTTTTCAACCTTCTGTTTGTGGAGCTCACTCTTCATTTTTAGTTTTCTGATGTTATTCTAGTCAAAATAATTAAGGATCAATGTTATGGACCAAGGTGAAGTGTATTTTTTGTTCAGTTAGGAAAGTCAAGGTACTCCAGTCGGTGCGTGCCGTGATATGCTTTATCGACTTCAAAATTATGGGTAAAATTGATAAAATGGCGTGATAACCGCTTTTCGTGGCCTACATATGCCTTTTTATTCGTCTCTAACGCAGTACTCGTTTGCGTGTTTCAGTACGCGACGGACGGAAACAGCAGGGCGTAGCAGCGTTGTTGGTTCACATCGGAAGATTGACAAGACTGAGGTTGCTTCCACGCTATCGTCATCTATACACACGCGTATCGTGAGGTTTGCCCGAGCACCGCCGGCGGCTCACCAACCACTGGACATTTGAAGCATACCTTCGCCAATGCGAATAATCCTGAACACATTTGTATCCATTTTATTTACTTTTTCTGTGCTATTGATAGTCTTTTGAGAAGAGTGATAACAATTCTGAATGATGCCCAAAACGTTCCAGGGTAATTTGTAATGTAACATCTATTTTTAGATGTAACGCAACTCATGATCCCTGCAAAATTAAATACATAATGTGAATTTTTATGAACTAGATATTGAAATTGTGGACAAGAAACGTTGTGGATTGTGGTTCTTTTACTATTTCAATACAAGCATGACGCTTGTAAAAGTTGCTTGTATTGATAGCACAATCACAATGTAGGTTTCAGCATTTTGTATTTAGTTTTGTTTTGTACGTAACCAGCTATAATTAAACGGTTTTATTTATTTCTGTGATGTTGCAGGATCGATCGCATTGGACGGTATTCCTTCCGTAGTTTTAAATTATGATAAGTAATAATGGAATGTTAGGGCGCGTAGATTAAGGTCGCATCACTATGGTTATTATTAGACATTCCTGTAAGCGATGACAGTGGTGGGTGCAGCGCTTCGGGCTTTAGTTACTGTTTTTAAGATGCCAAGTCCATGGTGCTTTACTCTTGAATAGCGAGCGTGACGTTCTCGTCAAACTGCTAGCACAATAAAGGATTGGATTGTAAATCGCAAGAAATATTGTCAGTCGGATCGTGGCCAGCTATTTCCGATATAATCCTTTACTTCTGTTGGCCATAAAGTGGAAGGAACCTCATTAAAAATCGCAAATCTGAGTTGGTATAAGGATTCCTATTTATTTTAATTTGTGACTGTGATGATTTTCATTCAAATATTGACACTTATCGGATGAGTGTCAACGTAACCAGCTCAGTTTAGTTGAGGGTGTCGACCAAGGAACGTCACGCGCGCCCGACGAGCCGGCTGTGCACTCGCGTCACCGTTTTTCGTATTTGACCCTAGTTAAGATTATTCTTAAGTATTAACTGTATTGTGATTCTTAATTATTCGTATATATTACTCGATTTTCTTAAATTTCACCCACTGCCAAACAACTTGTGCCTCTCTATTGATGTTGGTCCCCGCTGCGTGTTGTGATATTGCTACGATGAGAAGACTGTGAGATTAGGGAACGAAATTTGGGCTGTGCTGTGCTATAGGGAATATTTTATTGAAGTGAATACAGAAACTGTATGTTGAATTTTAGTTAAGTTGATAATATTATTTTAACGCATTTTGACTGAATTTAAGTATTAATTAATGAAAACCGTGAATTGTATCGTATAGGTCGTGTATTCTAAAGTTTAGGCTTTGGGTACATAAAATGGAGGTGAATTTGAGGTATCACAAATTAATTAGTTTCATTTAGGTTTGTTGTTGTTGTTTTTTTTTAAATAGACGTGCCCAAACGCGTTTGTTTACGCATTTACTAGGCGGCTGTCACGTATGGACAAATGAGGGGAAACGCTTGTGCGAATAAAGACTGCTATTACTTTTTCTAACTAGTCAAACTGTATATTGAATCTCTTACCTGTCAATAACGCTTGATTTTTTCCATAATATGTCACTAGGTACTATTTTTTGATCTTTTATTGTAGGGCCTAAACAACTTTCTCCTTTTTAATAACTTAGCTTTAAGGACTTTGGGAAAGTACAGCGTTGAGACCAACATCAAGAGGAGGCGCACTCTTCTTCGTTTAGACTGATTTTACAATTTCAATACAAACTTCTCCACTATTATTATTTCTTGTCAGAAAAGTATGAAATGTAACAAAGTTATGCACGGATCGCAATTTCTGACACGGGATAATGATAGTGTGGTACCTTATAATAAGTATACATACAACATTTTAGTTCATACATTTATTTGTAAAAATTGACAAATTACAATGTCGAACGCAATTGAAATAATTTTTAATGTCACCAACTAATGATGTTGAAATATAATGGATGTAGAATTTTTGTTGACATTTTATTTCTTTCCATTACATACCTTCCAACATTACCTAGTTTTAATACGTTTTTCTAAACATTTTTAGAAATTCATAGGCTGTTCACATTATTTTTTTCGATACATATCTTGACGAACAACATCCGCACAGCGTTCGCACTAGGTACACTTCTAGATGTAGGTCAGGATACTGAATAAGAAAATGAACATAGCCGACAATGTAATGCACTAAGCTTCTGCCGTGGGCCCATTGCCAAGTACGGTGCGACCACCACAGATTATCACTAGTATCGATAACATAGCAGACAGAACCTACGTGTATGTAAGGATCACACTTTTCCCATTCCACGGACGTTTGCAGTAATAGTAATCTGTTGTTTGGTTAGCTTAGGTTCTACTAAATCTAAAGTAACTACTAGAATTATTTAAATCTCCTTAAATCCATATTGGATAGTCCCTCCCGACCTATGATTCCACTGGTGGGAGTCTTCCACCACTCACCACACCAGTGGTGGTGGAAAAGTCAAATGGAAGTTTATTTATTTCTCTTTCACAATATAGTCACTACAAAGGAAGGAAAATTATTAACAAATAAAAACCGGAATCGGAAAAGAACTTCTTCAAGCTAGCTTGCTTGATCATCACATCCTGACCACACATTTGCACTCCCCGGATGACATGAACACCATGGTATTTTATTCTCACGAACGCAGCAGTTACATGACTCATGTCCGTGAATGAGTCGCTTGTATGACTTGCCAGTCTTGCCACTCGCTCCGGTAAACCCGCATTTATTATAGGTTTCACGTTTTCATTCTATGTTGACTGGTAGTTAACACCTGAACTAGAGTACAGGACTAAGGGTAAAGATGTCGTAGACATGTCGCAGTCAGATTGTATAATCCGCCGTTTTACATTACAGCTAGGCATTTTGCATTACAGCTCTGTTTTGTAATACGGCGGATTAACGTTTAGCCGGATTGAATACGGCTGAATGAAAATCCGCCGTAATGTATTCGGCGCCAAACGTTCTTCAATACGGCTAGCCGTAATGTAAAACAGCGTGCGTGTCATTACCCGCCGCTTTGACCATAGATAAGAATAAGTACTATTTGACAGTTTTTAGTTCCTATTTTCAATACCGTGGCGCTGCCGGACAAAGTGGCTATGGATTCTGGTGTTCGGCGGAATCCTACACAATATTATTAGTGTAAAAATATGAAATCATGGCAGTGGCCGGTGAAGATAATTTTATCTTAAAGAAAAATAACCCAGAAAAAATGACTAAAACTTTATTGTTTTGAGTTACCTGTTCCCTTTGATCATTTTTAATGTCTAAAAAAGACTAAAGTCAAATATCTAATTAATTCTTAAAATGTTTAGAAAAGTCTAATTGTTTTGAGTTACTTTTTTTGAGCTCGCACGGAGTTAGTGGTGGGTGATGGAGGAAATACGACTTCTGAATGGTACACTAGGAACATTTTAGAAGAACATGATGTGCCATTTACTCCATTTATTGTGGACTCCTTTAGTTTAATTCACGATAATGTTCGTTTTCACAGTGCTCGCTCAGTACAGGCACATCTAAACCATTTGGATATACCCATGATGCAGTGGCTGGCAAGATCCCTAGACAAGAATCCTATAGAGCATGTCTTGGACTTTCTTAAAAGATGTGTTAAACTCAGAATACCACCGGTGATGTTGAGAAACGCGTTACTAGAGGAATGGCAGACATTGCCCCAAAATACCCTTCATATCATTAACTGCAGCATGCTCAGATGAATGGAAACCATCATCAGAGCAAGAGGGGGAAATACCCATCATTAATTCATTCATTTGGATAGTGATAAGCTACCCTAATTTTTAATCTGGCCACAATTTCTAATTTTTGTTCAAAACTGAAAAATTGAAATTTCGTTTCGATGATTTTTTATTAAATAAAAACGACTAAATATTTAAAAAATATATGTTATTTTATTTTATTTTAATTATCTCTTTATTTTGTATAATAAATATTTCATAGATCAGTAGTAATTTTCCTTATTTTCATACTTTTTTTTGCGTTCCGCTAAATCTGCCGGTGTGTGTATATTATTTAGTATACAGTAACGAAGGTAATAATTCTTTAAATCTGTCTTATTAAAATTTATTTTCATTAAACATTGTTTTATTTTGTAAGTATGGTCACCCTACAATCTATAGAAGTACGATGCGGCTAAACGTGGGCCGCCGTATTGAAGAACGTATCGCAATGACAATCCGCCTAAACGTTGAACCGCCGTATTACAAAACAGAGCTGTAATGTAAAATGCCTAGTGGTAATGTAAAACGGCGGATTATACAATCCGACTGCGACAGACATATCCGCTGTTATTTCATCCCTCTGGGATCGGATCGGCTATCTATCTAATTAAGCTACTTACGTAGTAGGTAGTTAGTACTTAAGTATTTGCCTACCTACTTACCCACATAATATTGAGAACTTATTTTATGTTAATACTAGCTGACCCGGCGAACTTCGTACCGCCTTAGCGTAGAGATTTTCTTAATATTTTTTTCCGTAAGAACCATCCTTGGACTTCCACAAACATTTAAAAAAAAGAATTATCGAAATCGGTTCAGCCGTTCACACGTGATGCCGTGACAACGCGAAACGGGTTTCATTTTTATATATATAGATTAAGAATTAAATGCAATGGCAACCTAAATATTTAGGCGCAACTACACCTTTTACCTTTCTAGTTTTAGTTTACCTATAAAACCAACGGTGAGTATTCACCCGAAAAGCGAATAAACAGAAGGTCGCGTAGTGAGTCAAATTCGGCACAAAACGGCGAACGAGGTGAAGTTGAGGTTATGATACAAAAGGTACAGACAACTGCACATCAAGCTCAACACAGTAGCATCTTATGTCGGAGCAATAAGAGTGACTTTTCGACAAAAACTGTATAGTCTGATGTGCTGTTGACTGTAACAGGCGTGATCCGGCACCAAGCGCTGGCGGGGGTCCTATTCTGCCAGTTGTCGAAGTGTCGAGTTTCGTTTGCAATTTACGTGGGCTTTTGACGGGAGAAATAATTAATAAATGTAAATATCTTATTTTATACTTTATTTAACATAATAACTGAAAATCATGCCACTATTGTTGATTGATTGTTTTCAGTAGCTAACGACTTCGCATACGTAGTATGGACGGTTCGTAGACGGCTGCCTGACCTAGTGGTGCGCGTACTAGTACTATGCCAGAGGTCGCAGGTTCGAACTTAATGTATGTAGGTAAGACTAGTTGTGTGTCTTGTTTATTTTGTAATATAAGTATGTATTTACAAACAAAGTATAAAAAAGTAAAGAAATTCATATTGAACTGTTACTTCATTTATATAATTTCTAAATATACAGTGTGTCCGGGCATGTAGTGATCAAACTTTAAAGGCGTAATCTATGAACAATTTTATCGATGAATATACTTCAAATTTGGGGCTTGACCCATTTCTCGAAAAGTTACATCGATTTATTTTTTTAATTTTTAGTTTACACCTCTTCTTTAAAAAAACAAGTGAAAGCGTGGGTAGCTTAACATTAATAGGCAAATATTTTATATCATGCGATAGCCAATAAAATTATCTATTAGTAGAAGAAGAAAAGAGACACAAATTTCATACATTTTATGGGAGTAAGAATGGATTGAATTAGAAAAATACATTACTTTTTTCACTTCTTTTTCAGTTATTTTCCAACACAAGAAAAACCGGGTCGTTAAGGTATGTTTTATTTGCATTGTATTATTAGTATTTGAGCTATTCTACAAAACGAATGTAAATTTATTAGTCTACGTCTATTAGTTTCGACGTAATTGTTGAACAAAGATACCCCTTCCCAGCGGTTTCCATAGCGCACGCGACATGCGAAAATGCACTGCCTGAAAGAATCACACAACCTATTCCGATTACTATGGAAACCGCTAGGAAGGGGTATCTTTGTTCAACAATTACGTCGAAACAAATAGACGCAGACTAATAAATTTACATTCGTTTTATAGAATAGCTCAAATACTAAAAATACAATGCAAATAAAACATACCTTAACGACCTGGTTTTCCTTGTGTTGGAAAATAACTGAAAATGAAGTGAAAAAAGTAATGTATTTTTCTAATTCAATCCATTCTTACTCCTATAAAATGTATGAAACTTGTGTCTGCTTTCTTCTTCAACTAATAGACAATTTTATTGGCTGTCGTATGATATAAAATATTTGTCTATTAATGTTAAGCTACCCACGCTTTCACTTGTTTTTTAAAGAAGAGGTGTAAACTAAAAATTAAAAACTTAAATCGGTGTAATTTTTCGAGAAATGGGTCAGGCCCCAAATTTGAAGTATTTTTATCGATAAAATTGTCCCTAGATTTTGCCCTTAAAGTTTGATCACTACAAGCCCGGACACACTGTATAGGTACTTCTTTGAAATCACGAATGGAATTCTCGTACAGTTCGTTGTTCAGGCCCGGACGCGGGGCTGACGTCAGGGATTCTTGTGCACGCGCAGTCCGACTGCTGTGAATCACTGGCGATGTGTCACCGGACCGCTCGCCGCGGCCGCCTCCTGCGCTGTTTGCTATCCTACTCGGCTAATGACGGCTTCTTAGAACAAGCTGTTTTGCTTCTAGGCCTCGGCCCTCGCCACGCTTATCATGCCACGCTATGCGGGTAGCCAACATTGTCAGTTACCTTCGAGCAAGATGCTATTCACTTGTTTGCTGATTTGTGCGCAGCGCTCAGTAGCTGTGTTGTAACTTGTAATTACAATCTATGCCAACCTTGCTCGGATACTGTGTATAATGTCGGAACTGTAAAATACATTCGTTGGAGGTTGTTTAGTTATCGGAAACATATGCCTATATTAGTTAGGTTCTGTCATGAAATTAATATTTGCAATTGGTGATGAGTATCCAATTAAAATGCACCTATTAAACATTTTCACGCTTGAGTAACTTACAGCTAAAATAAATTTC